ATTGCTGGACCAATCCACTTGAAACAAAAGCTGACAAATCTTCTTTGCCATGATCAAGTTTAAGTAGTAGTAGTGAGTAATCTTTATTTATATACCGCCTTTCACAAACCAGAGTCACACAGAGATGGGAGCGGGGTCGCCAGTACAGGAGGCGCATGCCAGACCTATTGTACATGTTTTTAGTGGTAGGGGAAACCGGAGCACCTAGAGGAAACCGACGCAGACACAGGGAGAACATGCAAACTCCACTCAGAAAGGCCCTGCTCCGACCGGGATTCGAACCCAGGACCTTCTTGCTGAGAAGCAAGAGTGTTATCCACTCCACTTAATTGTCTAATTAATTTCTTTTAAAAAGGAGTTCAGAAGTAGTGACAATGTTCAAAAATAAGCATAAGCACAATATTGTTCAGTAGAAAGCAGTTATTAATAGTACTGTAGCTTTATGAATACAATAGTAGTAGTAGTAGTAGTAGTAGTAGTAGTATTAGTAGTTAAAAATAAAACGTATTTATTACAAATTAAAGGGCTAAATAATGCTTATCACTGTCAAACAATGATCTTTCTCACAGAGCTGCACTGGAACCTTCCCTCCAACTGAAATAGAATTCTAGAACAGAGACACAAACCTATTCACCACCAAATGCAAACAATGTGAGAGACAAAACAGACTAAATAAAGGGTGTGTCTGTGGGTTTAAAGTGACGTCAGGTGCTCTTGAGAATCACAATGAGATGAAACAGGAAGAACAGTCCGAGGCCCTCCAACTATTACATAACTTTTTTCAACTTTTGCAAAAAGTAATAAACTATGAGGTAATAAATGATAAATGGATAATAATAATAAATTAATTTATGTACAATTTTTTTTTTAGAATTTGCCAATGGGACAAAGCCATGTATTCTTATTTCAAGAACTGTTGCTTTATTTCTCATTTCAAGGACATTTCTTGAATCTTTTTATCCATCCATCCATTTTCTTCCCCTTAATCCATTTCTGGGTCAGGGGGTGGCAGTCAGAGCTTCACCCAGTACACAGAGCACCAGCCCCTCACTAATCCTCCTGCAGGTGGTGAGTCCACTGGAGCCATGGTCATCCAGCGGGGTCTTCTGGCAAAGTGGGATTCAGTGTCTTGCTCAGGGACACAACGACAGCAGACATCAGTGGGAGTCGTGGGCTCGAACCCATAACCTTCAGGCCTAAAGGCCAATGCTCTACCAACTGAGCCACTGTCACCCATGTATCTTTTTAAAACAAGATAATTGATCTTGTCCTATTGGCAAATCTTGTTTTAAGGCAGTCAAAAAACGTTTAACTGAAGATAAGTTTTTCTAAATTCGGGCAAACTTGGACTAATTTTTAATCACTTTTTTCAGTGAACATTCATCTCACTAGAAAACATTTTATCTTAGTAAAATGCTATGTTTAATGCATAGTAGTAATAAAGTGGGCTGAGAGCTGATTGGGTGAAAAAAAGGTGTGACAGAGATGCAAAAATACATTCATGTGAAAAGGGAATGAACAGTTTTGAGAGCGAAGAGCTACCACTCGATAGATATTGTTTTTAAAAGAATTCCCCGGTTTCCCCAGTTTTAAGAAAGACAGCGACTGATCTTGTTCACACCTCATACCTGCAGATGGCAATTTGCACTTTGAACCCACTTTTGGTTGTATATATTTGACTTTGGATTATGATTTGTTGCCCTGAGAACAACTTTGGACACGGTGAAACAGGTTAGTTCTTGTACTGTGTGTTCAGATAAACAAAAGCCTGGACGTGGTTTTATCAGGAGGCCAGAAGGGTCACAGAGCAGGCTTATCAGTCAGCTGTGAGAGCCGAGAGTGCACTGAAGGGACAAAACACCACTGATACAGAAACATGAGCCATTTTTTGTACATATACAGTACATACATTTGGTACATAGTTTCTGAACAGTTAACAATTTTAGATTATGCTCCTAATGTTTTGATGCCAGTTTGTCCTTTCTCTAGGTTTATCCTTTTTCTTCCTGATTGAAGATGATGCAACACATGTTATAGAAATCATGCTCTGTACCCTATTGGGCCTAAACTCCTGCTATGTACTCAGAGAAGATTATGCAATGAACTAAAATAGAAGAAATGGCTTTTATTTCCTTACAAAACAATAAAAAAAATTTCATGTATAATACGTATTGTAACTTTTGCAAAACTTAAATTGTGAGGAATTATGTGTGTACTATAGATAACAGACAAGGGACCCACATTATAAATTACAGACACGTATATTACAACAACGTACACAAGATTTCTTAAATTGTACCCACTCAATGTCGTCAGAGCAAAAACACAATCTGATGTAACACTTCCTCTTTGTCGGGACACAGTGACATCAGGTCATTTTATTTCACTGGGTCTATGTTGTGATAAGAGCTATACTTGATAGTATTCTGATAGTAAAACAAATATTTTCTTTTCTGTGGGAATGAAATGATGTGACCAGGATCAGAAAAGGTCATGATTCTGTCAGTTTGATACATTGTTACAGAAGATTACTCACTAAATAATGACATTAACATTTCCAGTATTTTAAGAATGTTCTTATTAGCTTGAGCTGCAATGCAACATTTTACTGATATAATCATTTGCAATATTTGTTCCCTACAAAACTCTCCCACTTTTAATTTTACATTAAGTGTTTAATAAAATACTTTTAGATTTAAAATTGTGGCAGTAGATATCAGAATATTTTAAAAAAGTAAGTAAAGCTCAGTAGCCGTGAACTAGCCGTGAAAACAAGTGAAAATATAAGAGTAACTATTCACAACGTTTAGCTTTTAAAAGGTAAAATACGAATGATATGAATTCTTATGTATTGTAAAATTCAATATACAAATAACATGAGAGAGAAATGTTCAATGTGGATTTTAATAGAAAAATTGATTTTTACACAAATCTCTTCAGTCACCTCCCATATTTATACTTGTCATAACTGAATATTCTTATCACAAATACTTTTGATAAATATTGACAGTCTCTACATTCATGTGTATTAGATTTAACAAAAGATTAGTAACTGTTTAAACATGGGTCTGTTTCCCTGGTCCTAAAACAAACCAAAAATGCCAGGTTGCTTGTTTGAAAAAGAAAGGAAAAGTATAGTCTGAAATGTTAGGGACTTACCCACTAAAAAGTGTGTGCATAACTTCCTTAACTACTGTCAACATGCATGTGTCACTCAGGATTTCAAAACCTGTTTGAGAAAGAATTAAGACTGATATATTTGTTTTCATTTTTTAATCAACAATAGTTTGTATATTTAAAAAAAATAGTTAATTTCTGCATGATGAGCTGTGTATAGTTTAGTGATGGACCCGAGAAGACGAGTTATCACATCCCAAGAAACTAATGAGGATCCATATAAAATAATCCAAATATTAACAACTTAGAGCTGGTAAAAGAAAAACACATGTGTAACACAAGTAAAATACATTTTAAGGTAAATTTGAATATTTGTTACACAAATCTCTCCAGTCACCTCCATGACAATACACACCACATTACAAATACATTTGAGATAATTGTAGTCTCGTCACAGATATAATATCAGTCTTCAGTCCTTGACACAGTGTGCAGGTGAGAACACGCTGCTGAGGGAAACACACACTGGTGACACACGTAGAGTAAAACTTATGATTACTCAAGAACTCGTGACTTCAGGAGACGGGCCCCGAGGAGGACTGTCATCTGGGGCTGATGTAACGGCGAGACACTGGCTTTTTAATAGTTAAATGAGCAGGAGCCAACAGATGTTCAGAGGTTATACAACTTCATACTTCTCACAGGTGAAACTTGGAACATTAGAATATCGTTCAAAAGTCATTTACTTCTGCAATTCTACTTATTAAACCAAACTAACACAACAAACTAACCAACTAACTAAATAACAACTAACAACTAACTAACAAACAAAGCAAACCATATCAAGCCTTTATTTTTATAAACTGCAAAACGGGATGAATAACAAGTCAGAAATTTATCTTAATTTAACCATATTTGAAAGCCTTAAAACAAGATTTTCCAATGGGACAAGCAAAAAACAGATACAAGAAATGTCTTGAAATGATTAAATAAAGCAACAGTTCTTGAAATAAGACTAAATGGCTTTGTCCCATTGGCAAATCTTGTTTAAAGACAGTCAGAATGTTAACTGAGATTCAAACCCAGATAATTCAAGCAATTATTACCACATATGTTTTCATTTTCTGCAGTTTGATGTCGATAATTGGCTCACAGAATGTATAAACACAAGTAAAACATCCCAGAAATTATTTTGAAAATGAAAATTATGACAAACAACGGCATAAATTTACTTTTTAACAAACTCAATCTCAAAGTTTCACTTGTATTTTACTTCTTTCTTCATTTTAATTTTGGTGAAGTAGAAAGATTTGAACTTAAATATCTAACATATTGTACTGTAACCTCTTGGTCTTGTTGCACGCAGCTGAATTATAGATGACAGGAAAATTACTAGGCCTGTGTTGTGAAATGTGAATTCTTGTTAAATGTTTTGTAATTGTCTTGTGTCCTTCCTGTCCAAGATAAATTCCTCTAAATGGGGACAAAAATCTATGTTCTTTTTGGACCTGGTTTACTGTATTTCCCACAGGCCATAATTGTCTTATTAGTGAATAGAAGCGATTCTTCACACTGGATATAATATGGAAAACTAGCCTTGTGACACACTTTACCGTGACACTTATTGTTGCTCAAGTCAACAACACTAGATTTACAGAACAGATCTTGTCATATGACCTTGAACTTGTGACAGAAGTAATACTTTCTCAGTGTAACTCAATGCAAAGGCTTATACAATAAAAGACCTCCAGAGATATTTTGGATGTGTAGACTACATCCAATCTCGAATTGGATTTCCCAGCACATATACAATTAATATCGGTGTTGCCCGGACATTACCTTTCACACTGAGGTCCCAGAGATAAGAGCAGTTTATGGACTGAATGCAGGACACAGGTAAATGCTCAAAAAACACCCCTGTCTTTAAAACAGCCTGCATTTTATCAGATCAATTCTATAATGTTGCATCAGACAGTAAAAGGAACATCTCAGCTGACATTGTGTTCGGAGCAGGGCTTTGGATTGCTTCTTTATGAGATTTTTACACTGCAAAATAGCTTTAGTCTTTAGTTGCTTTTAGTTGCTTTCTCCTCTTCTGAAGGGCCTTGTCCAAACAGAACAAAAACATGACAAGACAGTTCTATTTTTTTATCACTTGAAACAAATGTGCAGCTGTAAAATGCTTGTGTAGGCCTGGAATCCAAGACTATTGTGCTGAAATGTTGAGCAATACAAACCATGTTACCATTCTGCTCCCCAACAAAGAAAGTGGTTGTCCAGGGCCACAGGGTCTAACTTGGCTCAATGTCAAAAAGTGTCCTTCACCAATGGCCCCCATATACAGTTTTCATTAGGTTACTGCTTTGGGATTGGCTAAAACTGAAATGTTGACAATGTATATATGCCTGGACAGGGAAATACCATTATTGTTGATGTAGAAAATGCAGTAGTTGTGGATCAGAATTACGTCACTGCTTTTGCACTGGGGGATGGGCAGCTGTGTGGGAGGAGTCAGTGGATGAAAATAACTGTGTAGATGTTATTCCAAAACACCGAATTCCTAACCGGGAAGGGCCAACATGTACAGTCTGAGGCTCCCCATCTTGTAATCTTCCATTTCCAGCGAAAACCCCGACCATTTTGTGGGATGGGGCCCGTATTTTTGACCCACTAACACATTTCAATAGAAAAAAACCCTATGACGTCACAGAGGGGGCGGTGTCCTGGCGTTCAAAACACAGCCTGCCCTCAATCCGCTTCTTATTCCTCCTCTCCCGTCCATTTTTTGCGCTTGTTTTAACCCACTTTTCGATTATTTGTATACCCGAACGCCTTTTTTAGCCCTCGATCACCTTTTTACTCCAATATAATGCGGTTGTTTTCTGTATTTTCAACCCCCATTCTCGCTGCAGCTTTCTCCTCCTCTGGCACATCCGACGTATTTCTTTACGCGCAGCTTTGGGTGAAAATGGAAGCTTGAAAAAACCGTATAAATGCGCTCCACGTCGATGAGATTGTCGCCTTTTGACATCGAAGAGGTAAGATTGCAGAGACGAGGGCAGAAAATGGGGAAAATCTTATGTATTGTTCGCCCTGCAGCAGCTGCGCCTGAATATCCCGCCTGCGCCTTAACGCTTCCAGAACAAGATCGTCTTTTTGCAACAACTCAGAGCACAATATCTAAAGTTCTATCATCAAACTTAATATTTAAACTTGTTATCCTCGTCGTGCATCGACTTTGAAAGCTTAAAATGTCGTTTATATGAGGATCCTTGGTTGATTTTGCGCCTGTTTCCTGCTGCAGAGCTGACTGCATAGTTGCTTATTTGTTAGATTTTGGCAGAAAGGCTGAAAGAGGAACCTTGTTCGCAGCTGTCCTGGTTTAAACTCTATTTTTAAAAGACAAATCAAGCGTTTAATGTTGTTAGCAATAATTGATTAAGGCTTCAGAATGTGTTTGTACTTGGATGAAGCTGTTTTTAGACCGCTTGAAAGACTCAGAGTGGCTTCGCTTTGAACAATGGTCACATCTGAAAAACTGGAATTAGTATATAAATGTTTTTCTACAAGTTTTGTCCTTAAATCTGTCTGTCTTAGTCCTGTCATTTACACTATAGTTTATATTGTATTATCGGCCTGATTGTTCTAATGTTAACTTTTCTTCACATCGCTTAGAAACATCTTATGCCCCATTGAATTTTCTTTATTTTTATAGAAAATATTGATCCCATTTTTTTCTTTATATTGAGTCGATATATTTACTTGCTTATTATGCCAGTGAATTATTATCTGCATTATGTTTCACAGTACCACTTAATGTCTGAATACTGAAAATACTCACTAATAAATATTGATAGCTCCTTGGTTTGTATGAAATATGGAATACTTCTGGGCCTGTTTTCCTGGCACTTTTTGCTTATTTGACAAAGATATAATAAGGATTGTTTGGTCAGGGTCATGAACTCAAATTGTTAAGGACTTGCTCATTACATATTGACGTCAATAACTCTGTACAATTGTCAATACTGGATGTTATGCAAGTCACTGAGAGCAACACACCTCATTCTCAGCTGTAGGAAAAACAAACATCTCTACATAACATTTACATGCTGCACAAAGGCTCAGAATAAACTTTTTGTGCCAAGTCGTTTACTTGTTCCTACAGTTTCTTTGAGATAATGTTGGGTTACTTCTTTAACATTTTTTTTATTTTGTTATGACTTGAAAACAGACTATTTTTAAATGGGAAATCGGCAGAATTTCAGAAGTTGATATATGGCTCTGTTGTCAACTTTGAACTTTCTATTTTCATAAGAAAAAACTTCTAATATGGAAATTTTATCTCCTTTCGATTGAAGATAATTAATTTATAAGATTATAAACTGTGACACTATGCATGATTATGTTACTCTATTCTATTTCTATTGTATTAATATGTTTTGCTTGAAAAATATTAAATGTATACAAGCAAAAGTGATAGTTTTATTTATTTTTTTCCAACTTAAATTAAAGGCGTTGGTTAAAACTGACTTTACATTCAAAAATGCTGTGGTTCAGTCTTGTGGATTTAACTGTTTTCGGCCAAGTTTGGACTTTCAGCTTGCATTGAAACGAAAAAGAAAGCAGTAGTGGTGCTTCATTGTTTGTTTGGATGGAGGCCTTAACAAAACCACAAAGGACATGCCGTAGTGTTTGGAGAGAGTGTAAATAAGAGGGTTTTTATGCCCTACATTTGCATTGTTGGTGTTTTTATGATGGTTTTATGTTGTTTTACCTTTTTAATGGTAGCATTAGAATGTCCCTCAATTGTAGTTCACCTTTATTCATCTCACAGTGGGTTATTAAATAGGTCTTAAGTTTGATTGGACCAGACTCGAGGCTATCCTGTACTTCCAAATCTTACTTCCAAATTAGTATGTTGCCGCAATTAGTTCCATGCACTATAATATCATAGTTGCAGTTACAGGTACAGTAAGGCATCTTAAGACTTTGTACTGGATAACCCATAAACGCTCTCCACATTTACACCTGAATGTTATATATATATTTTTTTTTATGTTGTAAAAGGTCTTGCTAAATCCTGAGTGCGCGTGTGTTCAGGTGTGCGTGCCCTGGGTGCTGCCTGGACTGTGCTGCGGAGGCGATGAAGTTCCCTGGTCCCGTGGAGAACCGGCGGCTGGTGACTCTGCTGGAGGCCGCGCTGCACCGGGAAGCTCGCCTCTGGAAGGTCCCAGTCTACAAGAACGGCTTCATCCAGGTCTGTGCGGGTCCCAGGAAAACCCAGAATCCTATAATGCAACTTAATTTGCACTCAGGGATCGCTCTCGTCCAGGCCTAACGCATTTTTAGCCTCCTGGGATATTGTTATTGGTCAATTAGGGGCAGATGACCAATGTCCATAAATGTTGTTGATTGTTGAGTGTTCTGGATCATCACCACTGGCCTTTTTTTTAGTTAGACCTCACAAGTCGAGCAAGATTGATATATCACCCAGTTAAAAAAAGTTAGGCCAAATAAAGTAGTCAATATATCTGACCGGTGTGTGTGACTGTGCCTCCGTCTCCCCAGGGCACTGACACCTCTTCAGCCCAGCACCAGGAGGTGATCCGATGGCTGGGGGAGATGAGCCGCTCCTTCCGCTTCTGCCCCGAGACCTTCGCTTTGGGCGTGTGTGTCCTGCACCGCATGCTGTCCACGGTCAAGGTAGAACTCTTCACAGGATCACATAGGAACATGCTGTTACTAGTCTTTTGTTTTCCTCCTGCCATTCTGTGAAACACTGTGTTCTATATGGTAATGAATGATTAAAATGACTTGTATAATATGAAGCAGTTGAAGATATTAAAGCTGTATCAAAATGAACATGTTAGGTTAATGAATAGCACAATGTAGCCTAGTTTTGATTTCAGAGTCGGCCATGTTTGCTCACTCCATAATCAGAGGACGATGATAACTCATGTGACCTGACTCCGGCACAATCATTTACCCTCTTTAACCCTGACTTGTTTTCCACGGCTTCAGAACAGCACCAACTCTGTCACTAGAGGAAACGCACTAAAGCGTGTGTGACGTTTTACCCACATTGCTGCGCGACACTCTTTCTAGTCTAAAGGTGATGGTTGTGTAGCTGCATAATTTAGTAAGTAGGTTACGATTTGACCTGGAGGCATTTGAAATGTTTGTTATTAAAGATGATATTGGTAGTGGAGAATATGGAAAAAATGTCATGTGTTTTTGCTTAAATTGGACTGGAATGACTGCATAAGCACCAATTGTAAAATAATATAGAAATCAGAATCTTTCATATACATGTAAAGTAGTTCAGCGGTTAGTTTTACAGTCTACACATGTATTTACCCACGAGCAAAACATTTTTCATTACTTTCCAATAAAAACATATTGGGCACATTTTTGTACTACTTCCTTTTTCTAGGAGTATCTAAAAAAAAAAACAGGGTTACTGCGAGGTCTTCAAAATATGTCTAAATTTGCAAGGGCGCCCTGTTTACATGGAAACCTGACTAAATGTAGGCAGTAGTGTGAAGTCTATGGGCAAAGTCTTGAAGTTGAACATTGGGAAAAATTGGTCGACATTTCAGCAGACAACTTCTGAACTGAGGCATCTGCGTGTCGGGGTCAGTGGTGTCATGCGTCTAAAATTGCACTGGTATGTACTATAAAGAATGAAAGTTAACTGCTGGAAAGGTTTCAGTGGAAAGCTTCCCCAATTGGATATTTCTCCTGTTTTTGTGCGTATTGGTTTTTCTGTTTTTTGGGGGTGGTGGTCTTAAATTAGATTTTTCCACCCCTGCAGAAACCCTGTAACCACTGTGACATTCAACCCAACCATTGCATTTTGTTTAACTCTATTTGAGACACGTTTTAGAAGTTAGTTGGTTCTTCTATACCAGACAAATAGCTATGTTCACGGCCAAAAAAATAGAATGAGGTAATAATTAAGTTTTTTTATATCCTTGTTTGAATACATTGTGACTGTCTTAAAACAATATTTGCTAATTGGACAAGGAATTTCTATGACTGTCACTTTAATTTCTCATTTCAAGAGATTCCTTCACAAAAACCAGATTATTAGCTTGTCCCATTGGAAAATCTTGTGGCAGTCAGAATGTGCTCAAGTTGGAATACATTTTGCAAAACTTGAGCCATTTATTACTGATTTTTCCATTACCTTTTGCAGTGTTAGAATAAGACCAGATGGACCGTCCTAATCTGGGTCTCAAATGTGTGTCCAGGCTCAGCCAAAGTACCTGAAGTGCATCGCCTTCACCTGTCTGATCCTGGCTGCCAAGATCAACGAGGAGGATGAGGTACGGCCCAGAGGAACTCGTTTTCCCACGTTGCCATGAAACGACGACGACAACAACATTCCTGACGTGTTTGTGTGGCGCAGGTGATCGGCTGCGTCAAGGACCTGGTGGTGCTGAGCGGCTGCAGCTTCTCCACGGCGGAGATCCTGCGAATGGAGCGCATCATCCTGGACAAGCTGCACTGGGACCTGTTCACCGCCACCACCGTCGACTTCATTCACATCGTAAGTGAAGTGAAGGGAGTGGAGAGAGAATGGGAAAATATATGAACTCTGAACATTTGTAAAGTGCTTTGGGGGACCTTGGTCTGTAGAATGCGCTGTATAAATACTTACTCATAATGAAGATAAGATGGACTTTAGTGATCTCGCAATGGAGAGATGTACATGTCGCATTTGGCATAAATAGTATCACTCGGGGTGAGAAAAAGACAAGAAATGAGCAAACATGTTAAAGTGAAATGGTCTCTTTTGTGCAGGATATCTTATGTGTGATAAAAAAGCGACCATAGCAGTGCACGTTTTTCAATCCTAGTGCAGGTCCAATTAAAACTGTCCTGAATGGGAAACTAAAAGAAAAATAACTATAAATACAATCATAGCCTTTTAGCAAGATTTTTTTTTAAATTGTAAATCAGCTTTTCCCATTGATTTTTGTGAGCAGATTTTTATCATATGTGCAATTTATTTTTGAAAATAATATTCAATTCCAAAGCACACGAGTTGATATGTTTGCCAGAGTGGGATTTGACAGTGCGTATTCCAAAACCCAAGGCAGCGACTTTCGTTCTGTCATAGTTTCATGGTTAGTTTAAGCTCGATGAACACTGGGACGCACCTTTTTATTTCCAATGAAGCAGCAGTGAGACACACCGGGCGAGCCGCAGCCACACCTGGAACTGCGTCTTATTTTCCACTTTTGCAATGAACACAGACGCATCTCTCTCTACTCACTGAACAGCTGTGTGTGTGTGTGTCAGAGAAAAGTCTCACTCTGCAGGAAAAATAGAAACACTTCTGAACTCACTAGAAGCAGCTTTAAATCAGGGCCTTTTCTCATGTGGATGTCAGTCTGTACTTTTGTAAACTCTTGACACATAACTCTTATTTTTAAGTTTCACTGCTGTTTACTTCAGTCTACTTCAGTCTAAGTGTCCCAGCTGTCTATGTTCATGGATTTGAGACTGGATGAATATTCTTATCAATCAACATTGTTAGTTGAAATTGGGCCTTGCTTCAAATTGACATTTTTAGCAAAGAAAAGCAGACCTTTTTTATGTTTCTTACCACTGTTTTAGTGGGATTTTGTCGTAAGAATCAGCATACAATAACTTCCCTGAGCAATATTAATTCACACAAAACCAGACCAGTTTTTTTTGTTATATAATTTCATAATTTATTTGTATTCATCTACGTTGTTGTCAAATATGTCCTTTTTGGGTTTGGACAGTTGAAAGCCCTGCTCTTGTGGAAAAGAAACGGCGACACAAAATGCACACGTGACACGCTACTTCCTCTTTCATCCACAGAGGAGCACAACAAACTGTAGCCAGCATTTCAGATCCGAGTTGGTCCTTAAACCTTTTTTTATTTTTATATTTTGTGTCCACTTCATAACCTACATTGTCTTCTGTACAACAACCCTCCTTCAGTACACAGCCCCAGAACAAAAGCTCATGCTGTTGGGAAGAGCAACACAACATTTGCGCTTGTTTGTCCAGGTTGTAGGTAGACCTTGGTTGTGCTAAAACAAGAACATTTTACCCATGATCCCTGGCAGGAAGAGCAGCTGTTGGTTTGTTGACAGCTAAAACACGGAGGCAAATACATGAGCAATAAACCTAAACTACCCCCAGTCAGTCATTAACGCTGTGCAAAGTTAATCTGTGACCTGCTCAAACCAAGGCACTTCTGCTGACCCAGCGTCTGAAGCTTCTGGACAGAATGGACGCAACCTTTTTAGCTAGATATTATTTTAGCTAGATATTAAGTTAAGTATTTTGATATCGTTTGGGTTTGTAGTGAACACGGAATCATGCTGCATTTTTGGCACAACTTTGTTACGCTGAAAATTTTTTGAATGAAAGAAGTGTTTTAAGTTTTATTCATTCCGTAAATGGACTGATATTTAATGACTTATGTTTTGCACAAGAGATGAATAAATCATAACATTGAGCAGTATATTTTCCTATCGCCAATTTAGGGTTTTCCAGTGTAACCACTGCTTTACTTCACATTTAATGTTCTATATACGAAAAGCTATAGTTACACATTATCTCCATTGAAATGAGTAAAAGTCTTGGATACATGTTAGGGTTGGTCACTATTTGACAATTAGGCTAATAGCTCTACAGCTGAGTATCAATTTAGACAATTTTATGGTTGGTTTTATACATTTATTCTGTCACGAAAAAATGGCCTTAATATTCATGCAGGTCAGTGTTTGATTTCTCTATTCCTCAATCAGTTTCAAAACCACATACCCAAGCTTTAAATGCACCACACTTTGCATATCAGAAAGCGGTTCAATTATTGGTGACTTTTCAGCCACAGTCTGACCTGAGAGTGGCCACAATTAGATGTATTATGAAATCATCTTTGACATAAATCAAATGGCTTTTTACTGTAGTTTAATGTCGGCCTTGAAATAAAACAATATCTTTAAAGCCACAAACGATCGCCGCCCATGAGTAAATGATTAGTGCTTTCAAATAAACTACCTTGTGCCCATTTCTACTACTACTACTACTACTACTCATAGCCTTTACAAAAATCCAATACTTTGAAAATAAATACTCAGTGTCTCAATAAAAACATATTAAAATAAAGACATTTTTCTTTCTGTAAAATATTGAAGTCATCACATTGTAAATAAATAATAATATATTCTAAAATGAATAAATAGTGCTTTTCTCATCATACATTCTCCCTCAAAACAATCTCTCATCTCGTAACGCTTCATACTTCTCTACACTTTCAACAATAGAATTTATAACACGTTTGGAAAAGGCAGAATCTGTGATCATAAATGCCGTTCTGAATCATAGTAACTCTCCAAATGATAACAAAAATAAAAATATCTAGTTTTAAAATTGTAGGAAGATATTAATACTATAACATTGAACATATGTCTTTTGAGGTCAACTCTCCAGAACTCTCAAGGAAATCCATGGAATACTTTGCCACGCTGACAAATCCAACAAACCTCAAACGTGATTTTACACACACTTTTGTGAAGTGTGTGTAAAATGTTCTCTTCACACGCTGCCTGCTATATTGTCGGCTAGCTTGGATTGTTTAGCTGTAGCCGTAGCATTGGTTAAAATTGTCAAATATAAATGGATTGTCTATACAGAAATGTTTCTCTTCTGTATAAAAGTAGAAATTAAATAATAATTGAATTCCTGACTATTTGGTTTTGATATTTTGGACTCCTGAAATTAGCATTACACTAGCAGATGTAAACGTACTGCAGCTAACATGTACTGCTGCTAACATATAAAGCTACACACTGCTTGCACTAGAATACACAGTGCTTTATACTTGCCTTTTTATTTTATTAAAACTTTTATACTTTTTTTTTTATAACTATGTTCAAGATAGAGATTTTGTATTTGTTGTTTGATGCTAGTGTTCGAGATTTTGTTTTATTTAAATTGGTATAGCTATTGCTGTAGTAATATTGGACATTCCTATTCACACGCTATTCACCTATTTTTTTTTTTTTTAATTCTGGGAGTACAAAGCAGTCATTTCTCAGCAGCGTTGCAGCGTGTGAAGAAAAACATTCAGACAAAAATCCCCAGTCCGTGAACACCTCGGAGCATCCGCAGCAACACACAGACTGTTACCGCCTCAGATGGAGCACCGCACGCACAGGACACAACACGGACAAGTTCACACGAGTCCACAGAGGCCACGAGAGCTGTGCCGCCTTCAAAGTCTCGCCGAGCGGAGACGATCGAGCAGCACAGACAAGACGGGATCAGGAGCAAGATCTATAGCGGAATGTTAAGGATGACCACAATGTCCCGTTCTTATTGGTGCGCAGATATACTCGGTAGAAGCTGTGGTCCAATCCCTTAAAGATGCCACATAGTTGTCATAAGATTCTATTTTGAGCAAGGAGCATGCAGGTTTTTTCATACTTCAAGCTACATGTTCCATTCCAAATGTTCCACATTCCATTTGGCAATTGATGTTTTAAGGTTCAAGATCAAGTTATTTTTTTGATGCAAAACAGACAAAAGGTAGAGCCCTAAAACTTAAGAGATAGAAGACTACAAAAAACAATGAACGTATAGAATATGTCCTGGTTTCAGAAGTTCCAGAGGCTATTCTGCTACTTTGGCCCCTAAAGGGTTTACATATCGTTTTTGCTGTGTGTATTAAAAAAAATGTCTTAGTTTGTTTTGAAATATTAATATCAGGGGCTCTACCAGTTTGACTGTAAGTTGCTGAATTGTGTCTACACTTGGGGATTGTCTCCTCTACCTCCACATTTCACAACTTGCCTCATGTTTTTTCAGTGGTCATTCTATGTTATTTTTCTAATGTGATGACAAAAAGACAAATGATGCAAAAGTTTTGGTCCGAGTTTGAGTTTCCCTGCGTTTCTCTGTCCAGTTCCACGCTCTCCTGGTGTCTGGGCAGCCTTTCCTCATCCCGTCCATCGGCCTGGGTTCTGGGGTGCCGCATCAGAACAGACCCTCTGGCTTCCAGGGGGCGCTGTGGACCAGGCAGGCGCAGCACTGCATGGCCTGCCACCAGCTCTGGCAGTTCAAGGGCTCCACGTTGGCTTTGGCCATCATCACTTTGGAGCTGGAGGCAGTGACGCCCGACTGGTTCTCCATCTGCAACGACCTGATGAAGAAGGCACAGGTCAGGAAGCTGCGGTCTCTACACACGCCTCATATGTCACAGGAGTATACAGAATATACAGAATATACACACGCACACTATCGGCTTGTTATGTTATTGAAAAGCCTGGGAATTGTACTCTTCACTTTAGACAATAGGCTAGCTGATTTTAGATGTCGTCTTATTTTATTCTTGAATGTTGACTTCAGGCTGGGGTGGACCAGACCTAAATCCAATTGAAAAACTCTCCAATCTGATAATAACTGTAGGAAGAATGAGCTTTTTCATGTCTCTTCTCTGATTTTACAATTGAGGAAGACTTCACCTCTGACCTCCAGCTACTTTTACAAGACATGGACACATAGGCAGCTAGACATACTAGTATACTGACAGATGCTTTTTATCATAATTTGCAGCAGAAAAGGTTTGAAGTTAAGTTGCCTGATTTTATTCTATTCAATAATGAATCTCTAATATCTCAAGACATGACTATTTTATCATCGAGACTCAGTAATGACCCCAAACATCTCATAGTGGTGTACTACAAATAGTAATATTAAAGATGAATGCCCATTTTATGTTTTTTTTTTCCCCTGATGCATCATTGGGGTGGAGCTTTAAGGGCCAAAAACATAATTTTTTTACTTAACCGTATCAAAATGTTAAGAAATATGTTCTCAAATTGAAAGTCCTCTGAAAGATGCCCTACTGAAATCTCACATCCTACATGTTTTGGAATCTGTAAATATAGCAGATTAATCGATTCCTAAACTAGTTGTTGAAACAATAATGATAGCGCTGAAATATTGCCATACTCTTAGTTCTAGAGTTTTCAAGTTTTTTTGCCACACTCCCCGAGAGTGCCGCCTGTAACCCGCCTCTCTCTCTCTCCGCAGGTGGACAGTGCAGAGTTCATCCACTGCCGGGAGACCGTGGACGAGTACCTCCTCAGTCTGGAGTTCTCCCTCTCCACCAACGCAGTCTACATCCTGGAGGCGGGCCAGATCGGCGGCACGCAGCGTCTCCGGGGGCGACGGGAGCGCGGCGGCGGCGGCCAGAGAGACCACGGCAACGACGACGACTACTCCGACGGCTTCCGCTGCCTGTACCGCGAGGAGATGATGTCCGAGCCCCACATGAAAAACGTCTCTCCCTGCCCCCCGCTCCACTCCCCGGTCAACTAAAGCTGTCCATTTTAAGTCCAGAATACATTCACTTATTAATATGAAGGTCCAAAAGTTACCCACATGTCGTGTCTTTGAACCAGTGACGAACAAAAGGGCCTGTAGCTGATATTTACAGTCAAAAATGTCTTCGAAAATAGTTTGTTTTGAAACAGATCGAGCTCATTTCTCGCGCATTCCACACAATCCTACAAGACAAAAAGTTCATTGATTGCTTTCCATGAATCCTGCTGTAGCACACCTTCCCAAAAGCTCTAACTTTAACCAAATTATCTGTTGGGTTGGTAATTTAAAACCATAGCGCGTCCTGGAAAGCTAAGAAGAGCTAGCCGCATTAGCGCAGCACTATAATCGGTTGAAAAATGCCGCTATCTCTTCATAACGTCCAGAACCGCTTTCACAGCCAATTGAATCCCAGCCGCATATGGGGAAATATCGGGTGCCGGCTCTTTTGGTTTTTTTTAAGCGTCTCAAAACTGGTCAAAAGTTTTTATTTGTGTTGTATTTTTATTTGTGAACCCTTTTTTTTATATATATGTGTTTGTTTGACTGGAGAAGAATGGGTGTGTGAAAACCTCTGATGCCACAAAACTGAGAATGAATGTTTCACTTCGAGACAGGGCTACGGTCAATCCATGTTGTCGACCTGTTCACCATTTTATTATAATTTTTTAACCTACCTTTAGAGTAATAACCAAGGCAGACGGTTACGATTTTAATGTGAAGCTAACGAATGAGTCGGCGAAAAAGAACGTGGTTATTTTGTGTTCCCGGAGGCGACCCTTGTTTCGTTTGCGGTGCTCCGGTTCTGCCCCGAGCCTGACAGCACTTTGAGTTAAAGACAAGCTTTTTATTATAAAATCTATATTTTTTCAGAAGTCTTTAATATTATTTTAACCTCATTACTAAACATTTGCGTGTTCCAGCACTTGTTGTGTATTTTTTTTTTTTTTTTTTTTTTTTTTTTGGAAAAGCTTTACTTTCACAACTAAATGCTGCATTACGCTCGCTATCGTCCGGTTACACCTGTCACTTTAGAAAGGACTTTGGGAGGTTTAGAATCACACGGGCCTGGCATCATGAGATTGGCACGGTCAGACGGTCAAACTCACTCTTTATGATAGTTTTAGAACCGCATTAACAAATATTTAAAGACTTTTAAGTTAAACCACATTGTGTCTGTTCTTTTAACTCGACACGTAATGTATGTTAATTTAATGTATCCTTGCTTTTAAAAAGAAAACCATGGAAACTCGATACGATCAGTGAAACTGCGTTTGTGTCGCTTCTGTTGAAGGTCCTCACTCCAACTAAAGACATTTTATTTAATTTTTTCCTGTTTTGACCTCAGCCTGAACTGGTTACTGCTCTAAACTGCTGCTCCACTCGTCAGTTTTTACTTTGTCTTCAACACGTTTCTTCCAATACAAAGGCAGCTATTTCTTTGTTTCCATTTAAAAAAATAAATAAAGTTGAGGCTTGAAAAGTCAAATTGGTGTCTTCTGGTTTGTTCTATGTCAGGGCAGAGTCTGGAGAGAGTTCGGGTTTAGTCATGGGACTGGCTGAGGATTGGACGATGTGGCATTTGGAGCTGCGAGTAGCGATGAAAGCCTTCTATTTTTCTAAGCTTGGCAGATTCTGAATGATACCTTTATTAGTCCCACAGTGGAGAAATAAAACCCTGTACTTTTCAGTTGGTGAGTTGACATCTGGAGGCTCACTTGATCCTCTAGAGTATTACATGTCTGATATAGGTCAGAAGATTTAAGTCTGAGCTTAAAACTGGGGAGACCCGACTGAAACTGCAATACGTCATGTATTAAACACAGATGTCATATCTGTGTTTTTTCGTATCTTTTAGAGGAGCGTTTTCCGACGAGTGAGAGAGATGCCAATCCTCACTCAGCAGCTATTGGCTCAAAGCATTGAACAGTGACTCGCATAATTCTTTCTTAGAACAAATCTACAAATTCAGACATTTGTTATAAGATTAAGACTGCGCGTTGTCTGAGTTGTTCATTTACTTTAACAAAGGCTTTTTTCTGTTAAACTTTTATAGTGAAAACTGTAGCTACCACAACTCACATTATTTAAAGACCTTAAAAGGCAGGTTTTTTTTTCACTGATCTCTATAAACCAGTCAGGTGTGAACAAGTCCATCGATACTTGCGGTAAAAGCTTATTACTAAGTGTAAATGCACACGGTTATGGCTGAAGTCAGAGTCCAAACTACAAGGGCCTGGTTAAAGTCCAGTTCAACAACACAGGCACTTTTTGAGATGGTCGTGTGAATTATTGCTTCATCTACACACACAGCTGATTTGGGGGAAACGGTCACTTGACGTGTGTGACTTTAGCATCTTCTCTTCGTCACGTCATGTGGCAACACAAAATAATCGCAGAAATGATCTTCCCTTTTCATTTTTCACTTTACAAAAAGGCACTATTGTGATGCTTTTTAACCAGTGCTACTATACGAGATGATTTAAAGACGATATCCTAAAATCTTTTCCCTGTGTATAATAATTATGAATCATTTAACAAAATTCAAAAGGATTAAAGTGAGAAAGCAAATAAAACTAATGACTAAAATGAGCAACTAAGGGATTTAATGTCTAGTAACAATTGAAAATCCATTCAAGGCTGGATCCTGCTTTAAAGAAGAAAATCTATGTATTATTTTAGGCCATTAAAAAGGATGAGATGATTCACTTTGTCATCTCATAATTCAGAATGTAAAATAAGTTAATAAATTCTATTCACTTGGAAAAGAAAATGGGCCTCATTCACGAACGGTTCTTAGGAACAGATTTGTACGTAAATCCTACTTACGCGGTTTTTACGAAGAAAGTGGCATTCACGAATATTTCTCGTAACCAGAATTTCTCTTGGGCAAGTACAAATCCTACGAGTCCTCAGGAGCACTCGTACGCATTCAGTGCCGACATGTTCACACGCCGGGGTTGTCCTCTTTGGTGAAGTTGAATAAAAATACAACATTCCAGTGATATGTCCGTCATATCGATGTATGTATTTATTTATTTGTAGTAATCTTTATTAGTAATCTTTATTTATATACCGCCTTTTTCACTGCAGATCTGGCCTACTTTTTAATTCATTTTGAAATGAAATGTGCCAACGCTTTATCAAATACATTGGAAATCTTGCCGTGTATTAGTGACCCCTTCCTATTTATAGGGGGCATTTCTTTATCCACGGGCCACAGAACAACGGCATATATACTGCTGCTGCAGGAGGTTAGTGGGTCCGCGCTGAGTCTCTGCGCTGGTCTCTCCTATGGATCTATACGGGTCTGCGCTGGTGTCTCCCATATACGGGTCTGCACTGGTCTCTCCCATGGATCTATACTGGTTTGCACTGGTCTCTCCCATATACGGGTCTGCACTAGTCTCTCCCATGGATCTATACTGGTCTGCACTGGTCTCTCCATACGGATCCGCGCTGGTCTCTCAAGTCTGGTCTATGCGGTCTCTCTTCGGTCCGCGCTGGTCTCTGCGCACCGGTCTCTCCAGTCAGGTCACTCCAGTCTATGCGGTCTCTCCTATAGGTCCGCGCTGGTTTCTGTGTGCTGGTCACTCCAGTCTCTCCTCGGGTCTGCATTGGTCTCAGCGCTGGTCCGCGCTGGATCTCCTCCCAGGGTCCAAAATATTTTGAGATTAATCTCAAAACATTTTGAGATTCATCTTTAAAATAATACATAATATATTTTTAAATTAAGCTCATAACATTTTGAGATTAATCTCATCATATTCTTAGATTAATCTCATAATTTTGCTAGTTCGACTTTATTATCATAATATTTCGACTTTTAAGTCAACATTTTATAACTTTATTCTCAGTCTGGTAAAAGAAGAAAAAAGGGTGACTTTTGCTCCGTGTAAAGGCCTGTTGCTGTTTCCTCTGCCGTCTGCACACGGCCCTGCAGTCCCTTATATGGGCATTAGTGGGCGGTTACTTATGCTAAGTACCTATGCTAATGAAGCACCTGGCACGCGCGCTCTACTTACGAGGAAATGGGATTCATCAATCTGAGAGAACAGCTGCGAACAATTCAGCGGCTTACGAGTGCGTTGATGAATCCCACGTGGGGACTTCTTAGAAATCTACTTAAGGACAACTTGAGAAGAAAGTTGAGTAGTTTCTTACGAAGTTATTCGTGAATGAGGCCCACTATTCCCTAAAATCCTCCCTCTGGTGGTGGCTTAGGCAGTTCCAACTCAGAAAATTACCGGCTGCAAACCGGTAATTCACTACTGATTGTGAAGAAAATTTCACCTGAGAAATAGCCAAAACTAATTTATGGGCAGAAAAGTGTGATGTCATAGTGGTAGAATGACATCATACTATTACAGGACCAGAGCTGTTGGACAGAAGGGGCGGAGTTACATGCTTGTCCTATGAGTTCCTGATATCAGCATAGATGGAACTAAAAACCGGTTTGTTTATGTTGTACAATGGTAAAAAAAACTCAGAAAAGTCTTAAGAATTACAAAACTCATCTTTGAATACTTATGATTGTGAACACAGCACTGAGCAATGTAAACACATAAAATTACAAATCCGATATTCAGTATTGTGTCACTAAATTGCAATGAACTCACCCCAAAACTAGTAATAACTGGTCTTGTCTCTGTATATTTACACAGCAATAACAAATACCACTCAGTTCTGGCTGCAGCTGTCCTCGGATACACTGCGCTTCCTCAGCAGCTGTTTCGAACAAAACTCCGTCTCCTTCGCCTCAAACATCAACAACAAATGCACACAAAGTCAAACAGGGGCATTTATTTCCATCCGTAACAGTAAATACAGCTGCTCTCGTCAAACGGATCAAATATGGCTTCCTCATGCGTGGTTTTTAAGTTTTCATACTGGCTCCTATAACACACTCCTTATCAAACACTGTTCATATGTGCTCCTCACATCATCCAAATATTAAAGACGTTTCGCATACAAAGTCGAGAAAGCTCTAAAAATATTCACAAACATTTATGAAGTTAATACAAAAAAATATAACAGCACCAGGGTATTTCTTAAAAAGAGTACATTGTCAGTACCGGTGTATACGTACTTACATATAATCTGCAGTATACAGGTACTCTGTTGTTGTATTGCTTTCTAACGCGTCTAGGCCCATTCTTTACAAAGGGACTGCATAGATTGGGGTTTCACAAAAGAGGCAATTGCGTTTGAAAGGTACGTCTTATGATTTGTGATTTATTTGAGCAAAGCATGTATTTTTAAGTGGCAAAGATGTAAAATTGGTGGTGGAAAAATTGGTCACTTGCTTGTCTCTTGGAGCAGCATATTTTTGTCTGGAAAGTAACTTTTTACAAATGTCTTGTTATGTTGTTATGACTGAGTAGGTTCGGTGCTTTTTGAGTAGATATTCAACCTGTAACGCAATGGATTATAATTGTAGCCATACATTTGTAATTAGTTATAATAGAGTCAGAGAGTTATCCAAATGGAGTAGACTAGTACACTTTGGGCTTTGTTTATCGATGAGAGAAAAATTGGTCCACTTTCCACCAATCAGCTCGATAAGTGACATCCTACAGTAAAACAAACATGGCAAAAAGCATGTCTTCCTTTCGTTTCAGATTTAGAAGTGGAGTACATAAACTAGTGATTAGGCAGTACTGGCTTCTCTATGCACTTAATTAGCAGAATATCCAAGTCTGAACACAATACCAATGTTAGTGAAAAATACGTCATTTATCACAATTCGCTTTAAATGCTTGATTATGTTGGCATTATCTTTAAAAGCTGGGGTACATCACTCTCTGAACTATGTCATACAAGTTTGGTCCCAACACCAGTTTTAATATGCATGTATTATTTGCTTCTGTCACAATTTTAGAAGCCTGAAAAAATATATATATATATATTTACATGAATCTTTAATTTTAAATTAAAAAAATTTAGGTACCCTAGCTTTAAAGATCAGTCAAGATACAACTGGATGAAGCAATTATTGACTTTTTGTTAAAGTGAAGCTTACCCAGTTTTAACCATTGTATTTAAGTTTAGCAAAATGGCACTAAAATTAGCTAATACTTAGGTTACATTATTCTTGTGTGCATTTGTTAAACTAATTAGATTCAATTTCTACTTCTTTTGGGGCACATTTATACCCACTCTGACCTGCTCTCCAGAGACAAGCGAGATTTTCAAGGTATTTTGAAGGAATGTTGTATAGTTTCATTATTGCCCATCTGAAAACACAGACAGCCCTTTCAAATGCATTGCAAATATGTGGATACAGTGAAATAGGAAAGAATTAAATGTTGGTGGTGGTCAAAGGGAAAATATATAACAAAAAAAGGAAAAAATGGTAAAACAATATATAAAGCGTCCAAAAATATTCCTGAATATTAAGACACGAGATGGCGGTGGTGGTGTGGTCCTCGTCATCCTCAGTGTCTTTGGTCCTCGTGCACAATGATGGAATGTTTACAAAAAATAAAACAGAAATAAAACACAGAACAATTGATGAACAGGGAAAAAAGGTGTTGCTGTTTCTATGGTGGTGGAGAGATCCGTGGTCGTGTGTGTGAGCGGCGGCCATAAATTAACTGAAAAACAACAATAAAACAACAAAAATGAATGAATGAATGAGTAGATGGACAAAACATAGAAATTATAATACATTAAAAGTGCGAGCAAGTAGGAAGGTTGTAGGTTGAAAGTGTGAAAAGAAAAGTAAGGAATTATGAAAACAACATTGAAATAATAGTAATTGATACTGTTTTGATGGAAATGTAAAGAGTGAGTCAAAATGGAAGTCTAGTTTGTGTAAAGGTGAAGATGCAGAGCTGTAGTGTGGTCACAAGATGGCGCCAGAACTCCTCTCACAAATAGCATTTTGTGAATGGTTTCAAAATATCACCATAGTAACGACTTGTAGTAACACTCCTAGCAGTTCTGGGTGTTCCCATTCAACAAATATATGGCAACTGGAGGAAAAACATATTTTATGGTAATAGGAGTGAGACAGAGAAAATGTAATTAGAGAGTGTCACTATCAGGCCATTTTGTGTTTTAGTCCAAACATACCATTGAAATGTTTAGAAATTAACAATTTTATTTAACTCCTAGCGTCAGTTCCTAGGGTCAGATAGTTGCAATATTATGTCATTGTTTTATTTTTCGGTTCCAGTTAGGTGCAGGAAGAGGTCAAATATGAAGGGGACATTATTTCAGCCTGTTATCCAGCTGGGAAGAGGGAGCAGCGGCTACAGTCAGAGCTGTATCAGACTGATGTGATGAAGAGGGAGTCCAAAGGTCTACCGGTCACTCTAGGTCCCCTCCCTCACCTATGGTCATGAGTTTTGAGTAAAGACCGAAAGGATAAGCTTGCAAATACAAGTGGGAGGAGCTCGGAGCAGAGACACTGCTTCTCCACATGGAGCGTAACCACCATGTACTTATGATTTAGGCTTACTTGATTCATTTAAAAACAATTGTTGTCTGTGTCAACATTTTAAGTAATAGTATTAGTAATATTAAATCAATAGAAACTTTGCAAAAACTAGTTTGTAAATATATACTACATCTCTCTGATGTTACAGACTTTAAGAATATATTTAAATCATGTGTTATTGTCACCCCCCCGGCTGTTTTCGCTCTTCCTGAATCAAGGGAAAATAGTGAAAGGACAGGAAGCGTTTAGGCAGAAGAATGAGCAGCTTATTTCCTGTAGAGTCACATGTGGCTGTTGAAGATACGCTTTCAGCAGCTTTTAATTAACCTCTCAATTAACTCTACACCACAGCAGAGGTTTGAAGGCACACACATAAACACACACACACACACACACACACACAAACACACAAATACACACACAATACTGGAATAATTATTTGAGATGGTTTAGTGTCAAGCAAAAACGGAAAGAGGTTCAAACCAGAGATGGGCAGTGATGAATCGTACACATTTCCTTTTCCAAGTCTGAGAAAATTACAGATGGACATAGGGTCTAGGAATTTGGTATTTGATATTCATTCATACACCTGTCATTTACAGTGCCTTGCGAAAGTATTCGGCCCCCTTGAACCTTTCAACATTTCGGCACATTTCAGGCTTCAAACATAAAGATATAAAATTTTAATTTTTTGTCATGAATCAACAACAAGTGGGACACAATCGTGAAGTGGAACAAAATTTATTGGATAATTTAAAAATGTTTAACAAATAAAAAACTGAAAAGTGGGGCGTGCAATATTATTCGGCCCCTTTACTTTCAGTGCAGCAAACTCACTCCAGAAGTTCAGTGAGGATCTTTGAATGATCCAATGTTGTCCTAAATGACTGATGATGATAAATAGAATGCACCTGTGTGTAATCAAGTCTCCGTATAAATGCACCTGCTCTTTGATAGTCTCAGGGTTCTGTTTAAAGCGCAGAGAGAACCATGAAGACAAAGGAACACACCAGGCAGGTCCGAGATACTGTTGTAGAGAAGTTTAAAGCCGGATTTGGATACAAAAAGATTTCCCAAGCTTTAAACATCTCAAGGAGCACTGTGCAAGCAGTTATATTGAAATGGAAGGAGTATCAAACCACTACAAATCTACCAAGACCCGGCCGTCCCTCAAAATTTCATCTCAAACAAGGAGAAGACTGATCAGAGATGCAGCCAAGAGGCCCATGATCACTCTGGATGAACTGCAGATAACTACAGCTGAGGTGGGAGAGTCTGTCCATAGGACAACAATCAGTCGTGCACTGCACAAATCTGGCCTTTATGGAAGAGTGGCAAGAAGCCATTTCTCAAAGATATCCATAAAAAGTCTTGTTTAAAGTTTGCCACAAGCCACCTGGGAGACACACCAAACATGTGGAAGAAGCTTCTCTGGTCAGATGAAACCAAAATCAAACTTTTTGGCCACAATGCAAAAGGATATGTTTGGCGTAAAAGCAACACAGCTCATCACCCCATCACACCATCCCCACTGTCAAACATGGTGGTGGCAGCATCATGCTTTGGGCCTGCTTTTCTTCAGCAGGGACAGGGAAGATGGCTAACATTGATGGGAAGATGGATGGAGCCAAATACAGGACCATTCTGGAAGAAAACCTGTTGGAGTCTGCAAAAGACCTGAGACTGGGACAGAGATTTATCTTCCAACAGGACAATGATCCAAAACATAAAGCCAAATCTACAATGGAATGGTTCACAAATAGACGTATCCAGGTGTTAGAATGGCCAAGTCAAAGTCCAGACCTGAATCCAATCGAGAATCTGTGGCAAGAGCTGAAGACTGCTGTTCACAAACGCTCTCCATCCAACCTCACTGAGCACGAGCTGTTTTGCAAGGAAGAATGGGCAAGAATTCCAGTCTCTCGATGTGCAAAACTGATAGAGACATACCCAAGCGACTTGTAGCTGTAATTGCAGCAAAAGGTGGAGCTACAAAGTATTAGTGCAAGGGGGCCGAATAATATTGCATGCCCCACTTTTCAGTTTTTTATTTGTTAAAAAGGTTTAAATTATCCAATACATTTCATTCCACTTCACGATTGTGTCCCACTTGTTGTTGATTCTTGACAAAAATGTAATTTTTATATCTTTATGTTTGAAGCCTGAAATGTGGCGAAATGTTGAAAGGTTCAAGGGGGCCGAATACTTTCGCAAGGCACTGTAGCTGTGCATGATACAAATGCTAAAGCAGGCAGACCCCCTTGTGATATTTTCTGTAAAGATGTGAAGTACGATGTTTGTTTACTCATAAAATACTTGCATGTATTACTCTGAGCAATCAATAAAACATCGTAATAGCATTTTTTACTTCTGGAACCGCAAGCTGACCAGACAGTCCCAGGGCAGCTGTGGCTACAGTTGTAATGAATGGGGGAGGGGAGAAATACACCAAATTGTGAAGCAACTTTGTGACTGTCATTGAACGGCACTACAAAAACAAATATTCTGTATCATTTCTTTGCAATAATAGGGAAAATTCCTCGGTATAACAATATGATTTGCCAAACATTCTACTGGTACTTTTCACAATCCAAATAAACAAATAAATACAATTCCGTACCAATGCATTAAAATCATGTTGTTTTGACTTGATTTTCTCCCTAGCTCCCCACCTCTGGTTTGCTTCAGCGTTAAGAGTGCAGACCATGCAGACGACTCAAACTTACTTTTTCTTGTCCTTGTCCTTCTTGAGTGGCTGGGATAAGGACAGCGTTTCTGTGGCGACCTTCTTGCGATTAAAAGCGTTCATCTCCTCCTCCAGGTCGCGCCGCTTCTCCTCCACCTTCCTCTTCTCCTCCTGGTGCATGCGCTTCAGCTGCTCGAACTTATCGTGGAGCTGTGGAGGAGACCATAACATTTTGCACTGGGTTTATGGTCCGGGAATATGGTCTACGCGACGCAAACGGACTCAATGCGGCTTTTCCCACAAAACATCAATATATGTTTATAGACCTCAATATAATTAATATATCTTTTATGGAATGAGGAAAGAGTCACAGCTGTGTTTTCAATGTTAGGTGAAACTGGAGCACCGGAGGAACCCTGCAGAGACAGAGGGAGAAGATTCAAACTCAGGTCCTTCTTGCTGAGAAACGAGAGCGCTAACCACTCAGCTACCGTGCCACCCTACTACAAGCACAACAGAAACTGGGCGGCACGGTGGTTGAGTGGATTGCACTCTTGCCTCTCAGCAAGGAGGTCCTGAGTTCGAATCCCGGTCGGAACAGGGCCTTGCTGAGTGGAGTTTGCATGTACTCCCCCTGTCTGCGTAGGTTTCCTCCGGGTGCTCCGGTTTCCCCTACCACTAAAAACATGCACAATAGGTATGAATGTAAATGAGAGAGTGAATGGATGGTGTTGATTGGGGCTGATGCGCCAGTGTGTTCGGCGACTCGCTTCCATCATCACCGTGTGTGGAATGATTGGAACAATATCTGAACTCTGAACATTGTAAAGCGCTTTGGGTGACCTTGGTCTGTAAAAATGCACTATATAAATAAACATTACTTACTTACTATGGAAATATAAACTAAAAAAACAAAAAACTTTTGTAAAGTATGTTTTATAAAGAAATAAGGGCAGCAGGTTAAAGGGTGATTTGTTCATGAGATTTTACTTGAAGACTGTTTCTGTTGGAGGGAAACGCTTATCAATTCTTGATACACCAGTCAGCTATAATACCCTGTTTTTGCTCTTGCTTCATCCAATAAATTGAAAACAACAATGTATGTGCAGCAGCGACTGTACATACTGAATCATCGAAATATAAAAAAACGAGTAGCCCAAATATCTAAAAATACATACTTATTATACATACTTAAACTTACTCTATAACAGCGTTGATATTTTTTATGTTCACACAATTTGAACCTCTGTTGTGCCCAGATTTACACTTGTTTTTCTCAATCACTCTAAATCGGACGAGCCCCAATGTCAGAATCTCTCTCTTCCCTTTATTACCGCTCTTGTTAGCGTTGCTGGGGTGAAGCTTTCTACATTCCTGGTATCCGTCCAGATAATAAAACCACACACATTTCAAGTCGTTTCTTGTCTGAGACATGAATGGCTGATGGCGTTCGCGACAGACTGACCTCTCTCTCCTTCTCCTTGAGCTCCGCCTCCGTCTCTTTGACTTTGTTGACGAACATTTGCCTCATCTCCTCCTCTTTCCGCTGCAAATCGCCCAGAAACTCTTTTCTCTTGGCCTCGTATGTCTCCTGCAGGCTGCACAAAAACCAGACGCCACAACCATCAGACATAGGCAGGAGGAATAGTCACTGTTGCTCATTGGCAAAACAATGTCTAAATCCATTTTTCAATCAAATTTTGTTAGGCTTGTTTGTTGGGACAATATTATTTAGAGTTAGCATCACTCAGCAAATGCATTATCTATTAGCACTGGTTTATAAGCTTTTAATTACGTTTTTGTCCAATATTGCATCTTTGTAAATTTCTCCATTGTGAGATCAATAAAGCTTATCTTCTATTGTGCCTTTATTAATGAAACTTGATCATTTGAAGCAGAGGACCAATGCAGTATATTGCCCAGACATTGTATTCAGTTCAGGTAGTGGTGCTATGCTGGATACACATTGTATAGGAGAGCGCTAATGTCGTCCAGTGATGAATTTTATTTTTTATGTTTCATTGTTGATGATTGTTCATTGTTATGGAAAGATGTCTCTCCTCTGACACCTTATACAATCACTATAGCAGCTACCTGTTTCTTAAAGCTGCAGAGAGGTTAAATGGGCCCAGTACAATACTATGACATGCTAAACAAAGACAACTAGAGGAGACTAAATGCATTTTCCAGATTTAATAACAATTGCAGCATTCACAGATAACATAAACAGGTTAGGGGAAAGAAAACGGGGATATTGAAACGTTTCTACCTACAACTAATGAATGAAGGAAATAAAATCATAATAATTGTGGCCATTAAAAGCCAAGTCCTCCATAAACAGACCACCTCCTCTGAGTTCTAACTATGCCCTAAATGCACACACACACGCCAATAACTTCTCCGCCACACAAACACACACACACACACCACCAAATGCCCAACAGTGTCTCCTATAGTTACAATGAAGAGACACTGCCCTGTGTTCCCCATTGATCTGCAGGCGTAGTGGTGCAGTGTTACCTGAATGGCTGGCTGTCGGGGTCGGTGTCTTTGAAGCCCATCTCCTCCAGTTTGCAGCGTCGGTAAAGCTCGTAGTGCCGCGCGTGCGTCTGCTCCCTCAGATCCTCCATGTTCACCCGGATCAGCATCTCCCGCAGCTTCACAAAGTCACAGTGGCTCTCGTTCTCAACTGGACACACGGGAAAAAAGTGGTTTATTAAAAGAGGGACACATTGAAAACTAGAATTGAACGCTCAATGGGAAGTATAGAAGCATTTATTTGGGATGATTGGCTTTTCAAAAAAAAAAAAAAAATTATAATAATCACCCTGAATATCAACTTGTGACCAATTCTTGCAATAGCTTCATATGCTTAGCTAATTTCTATAAAGTCAACAAAATTCATCCTTTTGCTGCGTACATAGGCAAGACACTTTACCCAGTATGCCTAGTATGGAGCTGGTGTGGGTGAATACTGGTTGCCTCGCTTCAGTGGACCTACAATAATAGTTTATTACCACCATTCCAAAAGGAGCCATATAAAACCAATGTATTAATAACAAATTGATAATACATTTTATTTTTTAGGCACCATTCTAGATAATCAATTTCTCCTTACATCCAGTGAAAATTACATTTAGTTAAAATATAAAGTTTAAAGCTGAACATGAGGATTGCGTGGTTATGGTGTTTAGGCTTGTCTAAACAGATGAGTTTTGAGGGTGGATTTGAAGTCTGAGAGTGAGTCGGTGTTACAGAGGTTAGGTATTGTTATTATCATTGTCAGAAATCATCACAGAAATATTGTTTTTCATTTCCAGTTCAACCATAGTTGATATGTAGACAGTCTGACTTTTGAAATATTTTGACTAAAACCAGTTTGAAAAATCGAACAATAATCCTTAATCTGTAATTACAGTTGTTCTGATGTGCAAGTGCACACTGTCACCCGTGTGCACGTGCAGAACCCCAGGCGGCCGCTAACTGCACGATACCATCACTACGCTTCATTGAGAGACGTTTCAAATGCCACTGACTGAGCCCTCTGCAGCTAGAAACAGAGATAATGAGTCAAAAGGCCAACTAAAATGACATTTACTTCTGTGCTGAGAGAGAAAAAGTACTAACATTAGAAGACTGGCCTGGTTATTTCATGTGTTTGACTGCCCAGAGCTCCCTTTATGTCTTTACAGTGGAAACAAACATAGACAGAGCAGTAAAAGGCTGGTTGACCACATCATTAGTGGGAAATGCACAATTGAACAGTTGTAACCAGCAGAAATGGCCATTAAATGTGTGAAGGAAATTAAGCATGAGAAAAAGGCTAAGTATTATGACAAGGTTCCTCTCATTTACACCAACAAATATTGTAACACTGTCTTTTGTGTGAAGATGTGAAAAATCCTGTGCTCCTCCAACACTACTGCTTAATATAAATACATTCTCATATCTGCAAATCACCTGTTTGAGAAGGCGGACCTAAAGATATGACAGGTGCCAAGAATGCATGCATGTGGAACTAGTGATGGAACCAAACTATTTTAGAGCCAGTAACTAGTGAGATCAGTATTTTTCAACTGGGTCAAAACACACTGATGTGCCATCCTGATAAACTACAACACAAAGCAGGAGCGCTACGGACAACTTCCCGAATTACTGCTACGAGACACTGAGCCCCATTCACTGCTGGGTTTTGTCTCACAGTCCCCCCTCTGTTCATGCCGGGCAGTTTCCCATGGCTGCAAAGAGCTGCCTAAAGGTTACAAAAACCCAAACTTTGATAATGGAAAGCGTTTGTAAATGCCAGGGTCCGTACCAAGTCCTCTTCGGTGCAGTGCAGCTAAAACAGGGAGATCTTTGTCCATAATTATCATGTTTATTAAATAAATAACAAAGACATGATAAGTGTGTGGTGGATCAATGACACACAAGCTGGGGAGGAAACGTTTATGTAAGACTCACAAATTGGTGAAAATCAATAAATCAATCAATAGTGCATCTTTAAGAGGGGCTTTCCTCAACTGTCCTGGTGGCACTTTTTGTTTGGATTAATCTAAATGCTGTATTATCTTTATACTGTTTGTTATTAATCTCTTTAATATTGGAAACAAGCAATGTTATTTCACAATTGACAAAGCATTTGTGAATGAGCACATGAATGTCTGAATGTGCTATCCTAGGGTCAAAGTGATCCACCACATTTGTTTAAAAGTAGAAGAAAAATACTAAAGGGTCTAAAGGGGTCTATATGACCCAGAGCTGGTCAAGTTAGAATCAAATCGTCAAAATTGAGCTTGAAAAAAAGTAATTTAGGGAATTTTCAAATCACTGTGGTGGGTTGATTTGACTTAATAATGTTTGATTGCTGGTGGTGCAACTAGCAACAATAATTGAGTTGAAACAAAAATCAAAGATAAGTCGTTTTCTTGGTATCATTGACAAAGTCTGACAATAACTTCCTGCAGTTTGTCTAAGTTGAAGTGACTAATGTGTGTTTTAGTGTCTATGTGACTGATGAAACCCGAATGACCGTCCCCAGAAGAGACAGTTTTATAAATAACCAGAGCGCTGTGTTCTGGGAGGGTTTAGGAATGAGACAAGTGGTCAGGCCAGAGGAGATGAGGAAAGGAAGGAAGGAGAGGAAGGGAGGAGTCTACAGCAGAGACCTCCTTGTGCAATGCATTATTCTCATGACAACTCAAATACGACTAACTCAAAACATGCCTGGCTCTGGAATAACACATCCTTGTATACAATCAATCAGCGTTTTTCTCTTGTTCAAAACTAACAAAGAACACACAAAAAATGTGCCATCTTGATAAATCTGCTTTAAAATATTGTGATAATACTTTAAAGCTGAGGTACTTAATCTAACTTAAAAAACCCCATTAAGTGACTATGTAATCACTAGTTTTCACATCCTATGAAAAATTAGTGATGTCTCATCTTCAGATACATTTTTTTCTTACAGAAAAGTGAAGAGTGACTCACAGAGCTCTAGGTTGCTGAAGAATAAAGGAATTCTTATCTTATATATTAAAAAATCTAATAAGAGAAAGACTGCATGTTGTGGTCTTTCAACATGGATTACTTGAAATAAACAAATAAACGTAGGTACTGCAGCTTGACCACAGTATTAAAAAAAAAGGAAAGGCTTTTCATGGAAGAAGTACAGAAATCTTTCCGTAATATGAGTGGCCAACAGGCTAATGAATGAATTCTAGATTTAAGGAGAACTGAGTGGGATTTTGTTATTGCATGTTAGGAGAACCAAGTCTTTTTAGTTGTATGTTATGTTTTGTCTTCATGTACATTTTATCAATTATAAAACACTTCCCAGCAACAAGGAGCACCAGGGCAAACCCTCATTGCTTACGGTACCTTATATTTTATACCTTATACTTATGAACATGACAAATAAAGCTTAACTTGTGGATACTTCATCCGGTCACTTTGGTCTCCAGGGCAACCTATAGAAACTCCACACCAAAAAGTCTCACAAATGTATTCCTTTTTGCTAGAGGATTGACTCAGTGGTCAGCGGACAAACTTTCAGACAGAAGGAAAACAAAGAAACAAGAACATTGCAGCCTATTACTCCCATGTGGTCTGCCCTCGTTGACAACAAACCTCAAATATCAGTTTATTAAGTTGGTTTTGGTTGTGACCATGACAAGAACAAGCGGTGAAAACTTGCCCACGCTACGGCCACAACTGTCCTTTTTGATATATGCACAAAAAAACAAGTTACACCGACCAACCATTCCAAGCACTGGGGCATTTGTGCAAGTTCATCTCCGCTGTCCGCCCTTCGTCTCTGTGTGTCGCTCTGTGTTAAGTCTGGAGTGAGTCGCAGCTGCAGCGGCCACAGCGCGAGCAAACACAAGAGGAGGGTATAAATAACAAGACACACTGTGGGGAGTGGACATTAAGGACGCGCGTGGACATTTAGAAAGACAAGGCATTTTTACTGCACTATAACAAGATGAATTATACAAGGAAGTGGAAGGTTAAAAATGAATCATACTGGGGGGAAAAAAATCAGATTTGGACGATTTGGTAATTATATAGGCTTTCCTCCTTTGACTGCTTTAAAGCTGGGGTATCTCTTGTTTTGTTTTTGCCTAAAATAATGTCGTCTGTCCCACAAAAGGAAAATATTATGAACAAATCAGACTACTGTATGCAATAGAAAACATTCAGGATTTTGTGGTCTGACATTTTGCTTTTACAAGACTCCTTTGTGGAAAAATAAAAATAGTTACTGCAGCTTTGACCATTGTATTACGGAAAAATGTTCATTAAAAAACTTTAAGGAGATGAAATAAGGATATATATTGTTGTTATAGTTGTGAAAAAGAACCTTGTGAGTCACTATTTGATGCTTTGGGCTGAGAGCTGATTGGCTGAGTCAGGGTGTTCCCGTCACTTGAAAAATATGCGAGGCCAAAGAGACATGCATGCGAAACCTAGATGTAGAACCAACTTATTTGAGAACCAGAAACCAGTGACATAGATTGTATTACATGGCTAATTTGTTTGTTTAAAATTTAGAGAGATTTTACTCAAAAGTTTGACTCAGCAATTTACACACAAAAAATCTTCCGCTGTGTCTGCCTGTGATATTGTTCTCTTGCTTATATCACTTTGCATTTATAGTGCTTTTATCATTCGTAAACCTCATGGGAAATAACACATAATATCCCACATAATGCCCTTTGATATACAGTATAACTCAGCGTTTTCTCACCACAGCCTTGGAGCATTTGTGTGTGGTTATGTAAATGAGTGCTCAGCTGTCACTTCACGACACGATGACGCAGAGAGCAGCCTTAAAGCTACGCTAACTGCTATTGCGCAAAAGAGATGCCGGCTTCACATCTCGGGCTGGTAGTGTTAAAATAGGCAGATTCGTTTTTTTTGCCATTTGCAGTCAAAATTCTCCAAATGTTAGTTCAAGCTGGAGCGTGATCCACAAAAGTTGCAGAGTGCATTTTGAAACCTTTAATATCTCCCTGCAAATGGAGAATCAGTGAAGAAAGCTCCAGGCGAAGTCTTATGAATTCAGTGCAAAAACTGACAAAATCTGTACAAGTTTAGCATGTTCAAATACAAAGCTTTTTCAACATTATCATTATATATGGGCACAAATACGAATGCCCTCTCCACAGCCATAGAAAGCACCTGCTAGCTTTGTGAAATGTAGGTCTACACAAGAGGATTAATCAATTGTAAAACTATTCTAAATGTTATCTGTATAATAAGCACCTGGCCTTTTCACGTACCATCAATATGACACTACAACAAGCAAGTGGGCCAATATATTAATTGATATACAGTCTGTATGCAATGTCGCCATGTAGACAGTATAATTCAGTTTTTCTGTTTAGTAGAAAAAAATGTTTTGGAATGATGTGGGGTTGTAAATAGACCACACAGGAAGTCACTGAATCTCACCGTAACGCGGACTCTGAAAATCTAACACTATATTCTGACAACTCATGTGGAGAGAAGATCGTGGCACTTTCGGAATGGGCTAGAGCAAAAATGGCTCAGATTAGATGTAAAATGTGATATGAATCCTCAATCTTTCAACTATAGAGATATTTATATTTGTTTACAGAATGGTTTTATCCAGGCGGAGTGTGATTGGTGGAGGACAGAGAAATCCTTGTGTTGAATAAACCATAAATATGCACTGCATGAGAAGCCAGTGTAATACATAAGACACCACACAGACACTCACTTCCTGATCCATTCATGTCTGAAATAGTTTGAGGAAGACATTACACCTGATGTGATCTTAATGTTGCTCTAAAGTGTAATGTATGCGTTGCTGTATTGTGCCTTTATAGTCTCACCTTGCACCACGCCCCAGGGGTATTGCCGCGCCCGCACCGTTTTGTTTCCTACTTTGACCTCCTCCACGCTCCCCACCACCGCGAACGGCAAGTGAGCCTGTGGCAAAGAGAAGAAAGGTAGAAGAAAAGTTACATTAAAGACATTAAAAAGAGTTATTCAACAAAGAGCATATTATGGACTTCTTTTTAAGCTCATCCATATCTGCAATGTCAGGCACAAACACACACGCCCCATCTGTCCCAAAGTTTCTTTTCAAGCTTGTTAGGCTATGACAAGACCTCAGACTATGATGTTTTCTGTTTTTAATACAAAAAAGGTGTGTTTGTTATGGAAAATCCCTACTTTACAACTGTGTCCTCAATTACATCTTGACATGTTAGATATAATGTAATTTTCAACTAAATGTGAGTGTGTGACTACAGCAATCCTGTCTTTATTTATGTAGTAGATAATTGGATTAACATGTTGTATGGATATTTTAACATACATTATATTACATGCTAAAGTAAATATTCTCAAGATCATGCTTAAAGCTGGGGTAACTACATTTATTTTTCATAAACAATGTTTATCCAACAGAGAGAGTCTTGTACAAGTAAAATGTAAGAGGCCAGTGGGTCATTATTTGACGTTTTGGGCTGACAGCTGATTGGCTGAATGAGGGTGGTCCTTTCTATTCCACTTTTTCTGCCTAAAAAGGTCATTTAAACTTGTGAGACAATCCAAAAATACTTGCATGTGAAAGGTGATCTAGTTACCTTTTATTACGATATGTTTTGATTTGAAATGTAGGTACTCTAGCTTTAAAGGCCAAAATGTACACAAATACGTCATAATAAAAGAAGAATAAGAAGTGATATTTTTGGTTCATGATGGTTATCAGTTATTTTATTATTGGTTTTCTCTGAGAACAGCGCGACAACATATAATCCCCCTATAACCCTCCTATTTTACTTTTGATATGGTCCAAACTAAACAACATGCACAGCTGTCTTACAGGCTTAAACGTACTGTCATCTGCATTATACAACATTTTCATAAAAATGTCTCTCTTATCTCTCAGCACCAGACCAGCCAAAGCACAGCGTGGTCATGAGAAACCAGCCCCATACTGAGGCTCAGCTGGGGCTACAGGGGCCGTTAGCTTTGAATGAGTAAATCCACATGATGTTAGTGCTCCGAGTGTGGCGTTTTTGCGCCTGGTTAAAATCGACAGAGTGTAAAGCATCATGGGAAAAAACATGCCCCTCGCTCAACCTCAAAAATTAGGAGGCGAGTTAGAACCAGCTGGTAAGTGTGCGGGTGAGAGGGAGCTGACGTAAAGAGGCTAAAAATAGACGGGCAAGCAGGAAGGACTGATGGAGGACTGATTTTAAACAGCTTTGAACATAACAATACATCACTCTATGCCTTTAAGCTATAGCGATAAGTCAATTATTAGCTGATGTAAATTTTGTCACAAAATATGGTTCAAACCTCAACCTGTGTGACATGGTACATTAGTGTGCTCTGAGATGTTGCGTGCGAGATGTGGCATGTGTACGTGTGTGTTTGGAGGTCAGAGGACAGTAAGCTAGAGCTGTCTTGGGTGTGTGGAGTGAATAAATAATGAATTTAAAGTGCCTTTTTTAGTGCCTGTCAAGTGGTGTACACGATCGATGCATCTATACGGGTGTCGGAGACGTAGAAATGTCTGTCCTGTCTATTTTCATGTCTATGGACCTTTCAAAACTAAGCTTAATAATATGCTGGATATTTGCCTGTGAGTGCAATGGTGTTGATGAGAAAATACTTTGAATTGTGAGTGATGCTTACGTTCATGGAGGCGTTGATTTCGCTGACCGTCTCGTCGTCTGTGGGAAACTGATAAATCTGGACTCCGTTGGACACCAGCTCACTCATGATCTTTATTTTGAATTTGTGGAGCTCACTTTTGGAGATTGTGTCCGCTTTGGCGATGATGGGAATGATGTTCACCTGAAATCACAAAGTCACAAAGATCAACCATGTACTCTCAAACAGAAAACGACAAACACAGCCATTTCAATAGATATTAGTTTCTGTTGAAAAAAGACATTAACAGGCAAAAGGTTAGGGTTATCTGCTTAAAGGACAACTCACCCTCAAATCCACTTTTTTTTGCTGATAAACGGTATAAATGAGTGTCCAATAGTGTTGTCTACATATCCTGGTCATAATTTTGTCACTTTGGTGCAAATTAGTTGAAAGTTAAACTTTCTGCCTAAAACCGTCTGTGAGGCGCCATCTGCTGGCGACCTGTATTACTACATTTGAATTTTGAATCAGGCGCCAACACTGGCGCGGCAGCAAGACCTGACGTCAGCAGCCCCCCGCCCAGAGCTATATAAACGGGCGTAGCCTTTAGTCCTCCAGGCTACGCCCATTTAGAGGAAGATTTGAACAGGAAATGTGAGTGACGTAAGCTCCGAGGTGCGGGGGTGAGAACCACTTTAAAGACAACTACATATGAAGAAGCCTTCTTACTTAATGATTTTCTATTTCAAAGTCTGTCATGTGTAGTTTGGATTCATCTTTTTATATAATGTAAGACTAAAGACCATCCTTATTGTGTCACACAAAAAATTATAGTGTTAATAGATAGAACATGCAATATGTAAGCGTTTTAAAAAAGGTCCAATTATTTTTACTTCAATTCAATTCAATTTATTCTTGTATAGCACTAAATCACAACAGTATTTATCTACACAACCGTTGAATTCGCCATCACAGATCAGAGAATCAAACAGTTGAAACGCAAGAAATGCAATGATAGAAAACATCCATCCATCCATTTTCTTCCCCTTAATCCATTTCTGGGTGGGAGGGTGGCAGTCAGAGCTGCACCCAGTACACTTAGCACCAGCCTCTCACTGATCCTCGTGCAGGTGGTGAGTCCACAGGAGCCTTGATCTTCCAGTAGGGGCTTCAGGCAAAGTGGAGTTAAGTGTCTTGTCCAAGGACACAACGACAGCAGTCATCAGTGGGAGTCGTGAAGTAGGTCTTATGGTGGGCTCGAACCCACAACCTTCAGGCTCTAAGGCCAATGCTCTACCAACTGAGCCACTGTCGCCCACACATAAAAAAACACATTGATATTAATCCATAAGAGGCAGAAGATCAATGCCATAAATGTTGATAAAACGATCATCACTTTACTGAACAAACAAGAGCAAAAGCACAATCAGGACTTGAAGGAGTAGAAATAAAAAAGACATTTTAATTACAAAAACAAATTAAATCAGCGGCAGATGTTCTTGAACAAACACCAAACTGAGCTGTGTGTGAGACAAGAGAAATAAATTTAACTCCAATAAAATCTCCCACATGCAGCTCTTAATGACCCACAGCGAGGAGCTAAAGTCAAATAATATCCTCATCAGAGTTTATTGGCTCGTTAATTAACAGCAGGGCGGCCATCTTTAAGTTCTAAGTGAGCGTTTGTCTTTGTTATACAGAGGGACATATTGAGATTAAGTTTGTCTGGGAGGAGGAAGCAGCTGTGGTCAGTTCAAGAGACAGAAAGAAAAAACGACACTGTGAAGACACACCGCAAATGTAATGGTAGGGTGTATTAAGATTAAGAGAGAGTTCAATCAAAAAACACTAAACAACTCATTTTCTTCTTCCCACTCCTTTTTTAAATAATCTCACTGTACCTTTGTCTTGTTCTGTTCTTAATGCTTTTGTTGCCCATGTGTGGGTATAGTGCTTTATGTATGGCGCAGAATGTTATATTTTTTATGGCTCAAAATAAAGTATAAGAAGCACATTGAGTACTTATCCTTAAAAATCAAAGAATGAATGTTGTCTGCATAAGAACCCAATTTCACTAGTTTTTCGGCTATCAATGAAGTTTGGACTGAAATTGCTTTCTTAACTGGTTTCCTGCTTCCCAAGACCACCCGGGTCCAGGTCTGAATCACTCACAGAAAAGACACAAAAAGCTTTTTGAAAAACACCATTGTTTCTGACTGGGCACCAAACTATTAGGGCCGGTTTGGAGTTCTCACATTTGGCAACTGATAGATACTTAAAATAAACAAATGCAATATAAACTATCTAAAACTACAAGATATTGAAAAAGAAAATCTAAAAAATTGTGAAATTCATTTTACCGTTCAGATTGTATTGTTATTTGTAACTGGTTTTCACTTTAGAGGACAAATGATATACATACCATAAAACACACAAATGGTAACTGAAGTAAAATTACATTCCGATAGATTTTTGACAGATTTTAATCTTGGCACGGTCTAGTTAGAGGCAGAGCAGTTGTTCCGGTTTATATTTGAGTATGGAAATTCAGGCATACTCCATGGAATTATTATTGCGTAATAAGTTTGAGATGGGTCCAACAGGTGAGTTTATAGTTGCTAATATTAGCGTGGACGGAGCTGAAAACGACTCAATACAATCAAGACAATGATATAATATGTGTTCTTCAGATGTTGCAGGCCACTTGGCAGGTTTGAAAAAGGTCAATTATCCACCTACTCAAAGCGAGTGCGTGTGGTCATGTCTGTCGCCAAGTTCAGGGTTTGTCATTCACTGTTGACAAGAAAATCATTGTTTACTTGGTTCTGTTTTGACACCTTCCTCATCCGCGTAACCTCTGCTATTGTATTTCATTTGGAAGATTTACTTTTATGTGGTCGCTTGTGCACTTGTGTGTCAGACAATGTGGGGACAGGAGTCTACTTTCTTTGACGATCAAACAATATGTATACAAACTCAAGTTGTCTGATGTTTGTGCACATTTTAAAGACTTTTTCTGCATGTGTCCCCCAGTCTGTTATTATAGCGTTGATATGAACACAGTTTTGGAAGGCATGTGTCAAATAAAAATAAAAAATCAGTCCTATGTTTTATTTAGGACTGTATTAAGGGGCGATACTGGCTCAGTTGGTATAGCATTAGCCTGAAGGCTGTGGGTTCGAGCCCACCATAAGACCTACCTCACGACTCCCACTGATGACTGCTGTGATGGATGGATGGATGTTTTATTTAACCAAAGAACAATTGTCAACAAAGTTAATACAACACAGGCTTAATTCATTTTGTGTAATCCTAAAACCTTGATATTTTTTTGAGATCCTATGCATTAGAATTTACCTGTTCTATAGGTCATAAACTATTCTGATGGATGGTCCAGGAGATGTCTACTTCTTAAGGTTTATTTTCTTTACTTGGGTAAATATATGTTATTTCTACATTTAAGCATGGATGGTGTTTTCCTTTTTTTTTTTCCCGATTCCTCAAAGGTACAATCAAAAACCTGCATCTTATGTTACTGTACAGTGAATTTCTAACCAGTGCATTGTTGTGGTCCATATGTCCACTCCACTACAGTTTGGCATTGGACTCTTGGCTTTGGACCGTATATAAAAGAAACAGATGGGAGCGGCTCGATCGGAAGCTGGCATACCTGCATCAATGTTCAGTGGATCAAAGACAATAATAGTTGGACTAAAGCCATTGTAACTGATTGGTCAAATTCTGTTTATTGTCCAGAGAGGAAATTACTAATACAAATGTATGCGTATCACTGCTATGACTAAAACAAGGGGATAAAGTCTTCTCACAATCTGTCCAAAGGTGAGATAAAATCAGGAGCGATCCAGTGTGTACCTTGGAGTTGTGGTCATTTGAATAGTTTCATTAGACATGTCGTGTGTTGGAAGTTAAAAGAACAGGTTTTGGACACAAGCTGACCATCTGCTTCCCTTCTGAATTAGCGCTGCATCGGTTCACTTCAGCAGCGATAAAAATACAATTCTTTGGCATAAAAATCAGTGAAGAATCTGCTTGGAATGAAGTATAACACAGGTGGAATTATTTGCGTAGCACCAAGAAAAGACTGCAGTCAAGACACCCACACATGAAGAATAATCCTTTAGTAATGATTGAGCCGCAATACATTAGAGTGTGATCTTATCTCATATATTTATAATTATATTGTATTTGTAATTTTGCTTTAAGCCAATTGGTTTTGTTATAAGTTGTGGCAAAATGACTAATGTACTGACTTTCTACGTTTTATGATTTCAAAGTGTATCCAATAAAATACACAAACAATTTTTATATAGTTCCATTCAGAGGACTTTCAAACCACAATCTTTAAACTATGTCATAACAATCATTCAGTTTTCACACACACACATTATTGGCCTGTGTCACATCTTTAAATCAGCTTTTTCAGATAGGAAAGTAAAAGAGAAGGCCATCCTCACTCAGCCAATAAGCTCTCAATCCAAAGCTTCAAATAGCAACTGACTTGCCATACTTGCAAGTATGTAAAATATAACATGTTTTCTAAATAGGATAAACAAGACATTATGTGGTCTGATTTTTTTTTACTTTCTGTATGGAAAAGAAAAATAAATTTGATGGAAAACACGTCAAAACAAAGATACATGAGACCATTAGCTTGATGGTCATTGAAAGATAGATCACTTTGAACACCGGCCTGAGATGGAATTCAAAAAGTCTGAATATTTACACTTGCCAAACAATGTATATGCAATCCTAAGGCATCGGCTCAACTACTCTCCATTTTGTGACTTAAAACGTTTAGAAATGTGTCAAGTGTTTATGGGCCAATGATACATTCCTCACCGTCCAAGCATTTCACAGTCAAACATTTGAAAACTTCTACAGCCCCCAAGTCAAATAGCTCAGGACACACACATGCACAAACACACACACACACACGCACGCGCACGCACACACACACACATTCATAAGGTTGTGCTACTACTTCACAATTATTTGGGCTTTTTTTGTCTATTACTATTACTATTATATTTCAGCTTTGGTTGGGATTCTTTTAATGTGCATTTTTTAATCATGTACAAGTTAAAGGGAAGAGGAAGAAATAATTTTGTCTCACTGTATTAGAGACAAAGTGGTGTAATTCTTCCAGGAAAGATTGTGGAATTGTATATTTAAATTCCAATAAAGAAATGAAGACAAGGCAGCTGCGATTGCACCTGTACCACGGTTAATTTCCGAGTCCCTCCAGATCGAAGAAAAGGAGACAAGGCTTTTAATATGATTTGTAAAAGTGCGGTGAGAACACAAAAGTCATCACTTGAAATATGAATGACTCATGCTTGAGATATAGATATTGTAGTGACATTGTGGTCAAAACAAATGTGTTCAGTTCTTCAGATAATAATGTTTAGCAGTAAAAGAGATATGACACAGTTCAAAATATGCTGGTCAGATATCACAAGACCATCTAATTCAGATTGGAAAAAGACATCAAAACCTTCATCCAGGTGACTACTTTTGAAACTCTGTGATTTGAAATCTCAAAACTAGAGGACAAGTTTGAGAAGGTTCATCAAAAGTAATTGGTTCTTTTATACCAGACTCAACCGTTGTCTGGTACAGAAGTCTGGTCATACCAACTTACTATTGTCGGGTATAGAAGAACCAAACACTTATTACTAGGAGGATACGTTTTTCAAGTATTTTTGTTGCCTCTCATTCACGGAAAAACAAAACCAACCAAAATTACAAAACATATATTTAATTTCACTTGTTTATTACGGGGTGAGCCGCTTTGATAATTTACGAAGCATTAAAATAAAACAGCAGGCTTTGTGTTATACAGTTGGATTTTGGCTTCTTCTTTCCCTTCTTCCCACTCTCTGCATCTCTGTCCTGACACATGCTTTGAAATGTTTGTCTAACTCCGTTGCTCCGTGAATTCCTCCCTTTCCGCACTCGGGAGCAGATGATTCCTGAAGCCGATGACCAGGCTTCAGGACTCTCTTCACAGCACTTTTCAACAGTTGTCAGAGCAGTAGGTCTGTGTGCGTCTGCTGGCACGCACCACTTATTTACATGTAAACTGTGATCATTCATCCTGGAGGTTACGCTAATGACAAACTGCGTACATTTAATATATCCACCATTAAAGCAGAGGTACCTTTGTCCCAACAGAAATGGTCAACTAATCAGATACCGTCTTTATCTTATTAGAAAACATGTCATTTTTTAGATAATTGTAAGAAAGAGCCCTGGGAGTTACTATTTGACAACTCTCTCTTTTCACATTTCTGTCCAAAATACATGTAACTGTTTTTAGGAACAAGTTAGTAGTATTTTACTATATATAGTATGACTTTTTGTGATTTTAAAACCCAGCTTCTAAAAAGGTGCATTCTGATTTGAATGTATTGAATTTTAAGGTATTCTAGATTAAGAGTTTTTTGACCAGATTAGATACTTTTGCTTTTTAGACCTAGAATATCCCATGTAATCAAAAAATAATCAAATTAAATTAAGACAAAACAGTTTCATCCTCCTTCCATCCATCTTTTCTCCCATATTCCACTTAATCCGTGGCCTGGATGGGAGGCATTTTTAGCCTGAGTTTCCAAATATCCAAATTGACCTTCTGACTGCATCTCGTTGTCACGCTCCATGTCGCGGTGATTGGATTTTTCAACTGGTTACAGCAGGGGAAAAAAAGATTTGGTTTCTTTGTGAGCTCTGTTTATCGTCCATACATCCACACCACCAATAATGAGGACGCAGAGCAATATAACTGAGCTAAAAATCAATGGCTGTCCATGAGCAAACAGCTGTGAAGGAAAACTATTGACCTGGCTTTAAATATAGTGCCTCGCTGTCAAATGAACCACAGTTGTATGGATTCGTCAATAATGTTAGACTATCACTTTCCGATAGGGCCACATCACGTTCTTACAACATAACTGCTCATTTCTTTTTTTTATGGCTTTCACATAATAAAAAATAAAAACCAAAGGCACATACAAAAAAAAATTCTGTATTTTTCAAGATGAGTTTTCTTGCATAACTTACAACAACAATGTAGTTCCTACTTTTAGCTTAAGTGCCCCCAATATATAGGCTTGTGTTTTACTAGAGCTAATAATAGACCAATCACAGTGAAGTGTGAATGTGTCCATAAGCTTTAATCTTTATTTCCATTGCAAATTGTCCACTATAAAAATCTAAAATGTGGAACATGTACTTTTTGTTCAATCTAGTCCGCCTCTTGCCCGCCTCTTGCCCGCCTCTTGCCCGCCTCTTGCCCGCCTCTTGCCCGCCTCTTGCCCGCCTCTTGCCCGCCTCTTGCCCGCCTCTTGCCCGCCTCTTGCCCGTCTCTAGCCCCTCTCTAGCCCCTCTCTAGCCCCTCTCTAGCCCCTCTCTAGACCCTCTCTAGACCCTCTCTAGACCCTCTCCGGCCCCTCTCTGGTCCCTCTCTGGTCCCTCTCCTGTCCCTCTCCGGCCCCTCTCTGGTCCCTCTCCTGTCCCTCTCCTGTCCCTCTCCTGTCCCTCTCCTGTCCCTCTCTTGTCCCTCTCTTGTCCCTCTCTTGTCCCTCAACGTTTGGCATTGGGGGAGGGGAGACAGTCATCCGAAAGATTTGAGACAAGCTTCTACTCAACGTTCTGTACAATACATGCTAGTGGGCTTATTTTGCCAATTCTACAGCTCTGCTTTTTATATGTCACGTATTATTTCCACAGACATAGCCTCGTAACCACAATGATACAAAACCTAATACTCGAGACCCGCCCAGTTAAAATGAATGACCAAGGTTTTGCTTCGGTGAAATCCAAACCATACCGACTGCATAGCTTGAATTTCAGAGTCAATCACAAACAATAGATGAGATAAACCTGCAGGAGTTTAGGACCTGTATTCTAGCTGTATTTACCTTGCTGTCCAGTTTCTTCATGGTGACCAGGTCCAAAGATTTGAGCGAGTGACCCGTTGGTGCGATGAAGTAGAGGCAGATGTGGATTCGGGTGTCGTGGTAGTTAAACAGCGACCGCTTGATTTTGAGCTCTTCCTGAAGATAGTTTTCAAACTGCGTGTCAATGTAGTCCACAATGGGCTTGTAACTGCGGAGAAACAAAAACATTTATTTAGACAACAAAAACACTGATCAGGAAGCTCTATTGTGATCTTTTATGGCAAGTAGATGACGATTTTGAAATTCACTGCACACTAGGATGACTTTTGTGTGTCTTGTTTCGATTTCAGTAACTTCAATTGCATTTCCTTATCAAAATAATTCATACTCATTGAAACTCATTAAACACAGATTATGAGATTAGGCTCAGATGAAATCAATTTATTATTCAACAGTAGCAGCAGATCTGTGATACGGGTCTGTGTCTGAACTGTTAAATGAATGTGAGTAAATGTGAGGTTAAGGATGAAGAGGCGGAGAGTTCTGCTGTGTCCTTTTTGAGATCTTTTACAACATATTCTGAACTGTGACAGATGATGTCAAAATTCAGTATTTTAGATGTGAAAATCTGATGCTGCAAAAATCTGAAAAAATATCAAAATTGTTGTCCGTTTTGTGAGGTTGAGAAATTACTACACAATAATGGCTTTTAAAAGTGCTAAAATACTTACAAATGTTATGAAATCGTTACGGTTATCTTGTGACCCACGTTATCACAAGAATAACCAAATAATCTTCATATCAACAACAGTGACAACTCACTACATGGGAAGACATAAATATAGGCTCAGAAAATATGATTTTGTGAAATGCAACCTGAGGTAAAGTTTTGGGAAAACAATAATCTGCCGTGTACCTATCACAGCGGCAGATCAACAAGCAAACAACCACCTAACCCTAATCCACTAATCCTCCAAACTTTAATAATTAACTCGTCTGTTCAAGTCTTTCCTGATTGTAATAACTTCAGACTGTCTGTTTCCCGGTGTCACTTTAGCCTTGGTTCACTCCCATCCTCAATTTTTGCTGAAGAATCCCACAATCTCTGACCTTTCGGCTGTTCGTTCCCTGCATTTCGCTCTGAGCAGCAGCGTCTGGATCCGTGGTCCAGAGAGACCCGCAACCAAAGAGCGTGAGAGAGAGGCTGCTGCTAGGATACGACCAGAACACACTGCACGAGATCATCTTTCATAACAGCTTTGTAATTAATTAACATTCATTTAAAAAAAAAAAAAACTCTGTATAGGTCAATTTTGCTTATTTCTTTTTGAGTGACACATTTAAGTGGGGTGGACAGTACTCCTCTAAAAACTCACTTCTGGTTTTGGAAGTGGAGTGAAAAGAATTATGCTCCTATACTGGAAAACGCCCACGAATAAAGGGTTGCCAGATAATTAAACTTGAGCTGACTGAGAATATGTCATACTGTATAAATTGGTCATACTCTAAAGCACTGTGATGAGTTTGATGAAGAGCTTTTCTTCAAAACACAGATTTTTAAACTACACAAAATCTGAAAAATCTATTTTTGACCATGTTACAAAATGTTTCACCTGGAGTCGTTTTTAGCTCTCCCCATGCCATTATCATCAGGAATTTCCGGCATTAAAGCTGCACTAACTGACTTTATTTTTGTATTCATTACGAAAATGCTATCCATGTCCATGTAGTGCATTGGGATATACATCATTTTGAAGAAAAAGTAGCGCAGATTTGTGCTGGCGTGACATTATATTTTAGATCGAGTTTTGATGAAACAAGGAAGAGAATGTGTTTCGGGTCGCAGATTGTGACCAATAGCAGCGGACCACTGGCCCCCACTTTCGTGAGAAATCTACAGGTCCGTTAGCATAGACGGCTGAGTTAGCACAACAAGCCGAGGAGCTAACCTGAAACTTCGTGTGTCTTCGTCATCGGTTACTGCTTACACAACGACACAGCCATCCAAAAGAAAGTCTCGTTCCTCCGCGCTTCCCGGTTCTATCGTTCTATGGTCACGCCATCCACGTGCAAATCCATATCCATGTATTATCCATATTGGGAGACGCTAGCTTCGTCCCAACAGTGGGTGTGTGTGGGGGGGCAATAGCTTCGTGGGTGCGGGGAGGGGAGCAGAAAGAGAGAGGCCAGCGAGTCCACGGCTTCAAAATCCCAAAGTCAGTTAGTGCAGCTTTAATGGAGCACAATCACTCTCCCCACCAGGTCCTTAGTCAAGTTATTTGTAGTGTAATGAAGATAGAACTGCTTAGGAAATGGTTTACACTTTTTTCTTATTAAAATAACCTTCTAAGGAGACATAATTCACTTTTTACATTTAAAAACTGACAGCTCAACATCTCAAGGGTGGGTCCCAGGGTCAAAACAAACAGAAAAAATGCATTATATTATGTCTTCAAAGTGCTCTCACCTGTCCTCTTTGTTGATCTGGTCTCCGAACCCCACCGTGTCCACGATCGTGAGCTTCAGGTGGACGTTGCTCTCCTGGAGGTCGTAGGTTCGCGGCCGCAGGTAAACCCCGTTCTGGTAGTGGCTCGCCTCCTCGTTCTCAAACATGGTGTTAAAAAGAGTGTTCATTAACGTGGACTTTCCTATGCCCGTCTCCCCTGTCAAAGAGAATAAAAAATATATTAAGGCTATATCAAAACTGGGGCGGATAAATGGAACTATGTGATCAAATCCATCAAACTAGTTCTCATAAAACAGTGGTTTGGTTGCTCAATTTCACAAGAATGTATTACTGGCCTCAGTCACCTATTTATATCAGATATTTGGGACAGGAAAAATAAGTAAAGAGGACCACCCTCAGTCAATCAGCTCAAAGTGTCAAATTGAGACTCACAAGGCTTTCTCTTGTGCAGTATCGAAACAAAAAGAAAGCATGATATGGTCTGATTTGTTCACAAGTTACTTTTGGTGGAATAAAAAATATATGTGTAAATAGTTAATAATTGTATTCTTAATATCATGTTTATGCTCAAAATGGACACAAATATATACGATTTCTCCTTTAAAGACTTTAACTTGAATGTCCAAAAACTTTAACATATGCAGAGTCTATAATGCCAAATGTATAGTAAAGATTAGGTTTACACATTTACAAACACTTAGAATCACTTCCATGATTAAACATAGGCATAGTTTGCATTCCTCTGCTTGCATGGAACTCAAATCACATGGGAGCAATTCTGCAACTTCACATGCAACTATTTATGTCAGTGCTCAGTGTGAAGAGAAGCTAATTGGTCAACCACATTGTTTAAGGAAAAACAGATCAAGCATCATTCCTTTGGAAAAAGCCCATTGCCTCAAGCGTAAACAGACCTTTATTTAACCAGTTAAGTCCCCAAGATTTCATAAGATCATTTTTTGATTCAAATTTGGTTAATCAAAATTGAAAAAGCACAGATTCAATGAACATTAGCATGACATCCCTTCACAAAGAAAATTATTTCAAACAATTCTTTCTCAAATCAAACTCTCCTCCAAGCCACATGCTTTTAAATTGACTGTACACCAAGGTCACAATAACCATCATGCATGGATGACACATTTGTATATACAGTGCCTTGCGAAAGTATTCGGCCCCCTTGAACCTTTCAACATTTCGCCACATTTCAGGCTTCAAACATAAAGATATAAAATTTTAATTTTTTGTCATGAATCAACAACAAGTGGGACCCAGTTGTGAAGTGGAATGAAATTTGTTCCCTCCAAACTTTCATCTCAAACAAGTAACTGATCAGAGATGCAGCCAAGAGGCCCATGATCACTCTGGATGAACTGCAGATAACTACAGCTGAGGTGGGGATGGTGTGTTCAGGGTGATGAGCTGTGTTGCTTTTACGCCAAACATATCGTTTTTCATTGTGGCCAAAAAGTTTGATTTTGGTTTCATCTAACCAGAGCATCTTCTTCCACATGTTTGGTGTGTCTCCCAGGTGGCTTGTGGCAAACTTTTTGAGACTTTTATTGCATATCTTTGAGAAATGGCTTTCTTCTTGCCACTCTTCCATAAAGGCCAGATTTGTGCAGAGCACGACTGATTGTTGTCCTATGGACAGACTCTCCCACCTCAGCTGTAGTTATCTGCAGTTCATCCAGAGTGATCATGGGCCTCTTGGCTGCATCTCTGATCAGTCTTCTCCTTGTTTGGGATGAAAGTTTGGAGGGATGGCCGGGGCTTGGTAGATTTGCAGTGGTCTGATACTCCTTCCATTTCAATATAATTGCTTGCACAGTGCTCCTTGAGATGTTTAAAGCTTGGGAAATCTTTTTGTATCCAAATCCGGCTTTAAACTTCTCCACAACAGTATCTCGGACCTGCCTGGTGTGTTCCTTTGTCTTCATGGTTCTCTCTGCGCTTTAAACAGAACCCTGAGACTATCAAAGAGCAGGTGCATTTATACGGAGACTTGATTACACACGGGTGCATTCTATTTATCATCATCAGTCATTTGGTTCAACATTGGATCATTCAAAGATCCTCACTGAACTTCTGGAGTGAGTTTGCTGGACTGAAAGTAAAGGGGCCGAATAATATTGCATGCCCCACTTTTCAGTTTTTTATTTTTTTTTTAAGTTCAAATTATCCAATAAATTTCGTTGCACTTCACGATTGTGTCCCACTTGTTGTTGATTTATGACAAAAAAATTTAATTTTATATCTTTATGTTTGAAGACTGAAATGTGAAACTTTCGCAAGGCACTGTAAAACTTATAGCACTAAAAGATCATCTTTAAATCACTTATTCAATTGATGTAAATATAAAGCAGGAAAATCCCAGTAGTTTTTTTCCTCATTTGTCGATTTCATTACAACGCATGTTCTGTTAAAATAAACAGCAGGAATGATTAGTATTTGGTCGTATTGAATCCACTTCAGTTGAAAATCTCATTGTTTAACATAGAGAATCCCAAAGGTCAACCTACTACCCGAATAAAGGGTACAATCAATACATATTTATGCTCAAAATATATTGCTTTATTTAAAGGTAATTGAACGATGATAACCGTGACACCTCTTGACTAAAACAATCCCAAGTTCATGATTAGAAATGAGGAATTATTAGACTAAATTGTGAATTTGAAAAAAATGACTGGATTTTTTGCTTATTTCGGTCTTTTTGCTGCTAGTTGTTTTGTTGACCATCACTCACCGACGCAGAGGATGTTGAAGCAGAATCCCTGTGTGACCGACTTGCTGACCAGCTGATCGGGAAGGCTGTCGAATCCAACATGGCCGCCCAAGCTCAGGCTCCTCTTCTCCTCGTTCTGAAAAGAGAAAGGAGAGAACGAGGCTGATGAGGAAACATATTGTAAAGTCATTAGTGGTGCATTCCTCTGCAGCGGTGGCTTCAAATCAAGACTGCTCGGCTCGACGATTGTGGAAAATATGCAATAGCGGTGGGCCAATATGGGTCTGTGTCAGTCGATATGATATCCGATATTTGTTCTTCTGCACATGCCGATACCGATACTCTCAGTTTTTTTTTTTGACACACTTAAATTATACAATGCAAATACCTATGTCTATACAATATACTTCACCAATAACAAATACTGAAACTAGAATAGACTTTCTTTCATTTATAGTAAATTCTACATTGTACAATATGATTGTACAGTTACAATGTCTTGTTGAGGAGCGAAGTGTACCATCTTGTAAAAAACTTAAATTAAAAAAATCAAGGAATGATACACATTCATTTTTTAAAGAAAATAATTATCAAAATGTTATCTGAATGGAATAACCCAATACATTTCCACAGGTCGAAAATTGTTTGGTTTACTACATTCTATAGAGATATTAAAGCATTTTATATTATTGCTCAAATGATTTCTGCCTGTTTGACATTCAATTTAGCTTTGATGAATCTTTGAGCAGCGCTTCAAAGACCGTTTTGAAATGTGGAGCCGGTTGGTACAAAGTCAAGAGCTGGTGAATCTGGGCCCGCAGTGAGGATGAGCAGCTACTGATACTGTATAATCCCAAAATCCCAGAAACGTTTAAGTATTTAGAAGCCAACGACGTTTTCCATTTTTGGGTTTCAGAGGGATGAATCATGAGCATTGTTGCCGTGGTGAATAAACATGTAAGGCAAAATATATTACTTTTAAATATAAAAAAATTAAATGTATTGAGAGACCATAAATATTTCTATTTACTGAAAATGTTGCATTGTTTTTTTGTAATTTTTCGGGTATGTAACCTTTTTCGGTTATGTAAGAACTCAATAGCTAAGCAGGTCAGAGCCTGGTTAGACCTGTGATGGAGGACATCTGAGGGGCAGAATCATTGTGTCCTTATGCAAGACACTTCACCCAAGTGTCTTGCCTATGGAAGGACGCAAATGTGTGTGTATATGTGTGAAATCAGTAGTTGGCTCAATTTGGCAGCCATGGTTTAGCACCGCCGTATACAGAAATAATAAATAATGCCACACATCCATAAAATCAAACTGATCAGACTTAAATTCCGTTCAATTAAAATGTGCAAGACAACAATTGACTCCACATTTCGATTGCCCAAACTCTGAACTTAATCCAACATCACGCAGGAATGTCCAGCCGCCTGTGGGAACTGTAAACTATGTAAACACTGTGCTGTTATAATGAATGCATAAAGCTTTCCCTGAAGAGAGGTGGGTTACATCAGGTCTGCCAACAAAAGCAAAACTAATCCACTTTACATTACATTTACATCATCTCTACGGCTCTGGACGACAAACAGACTTAAGTTACAATAAACCACATGTCTGAAGCGACGCTGTAGCAATAAATTAACCAGATATGGCTCTTTCTAAATGTAGAAACACTATTGGTGAGGAGACCTGTTTGAAAGGATGTAAACTGACCTAAGTGACTAGTGGACATAATCTCTCTTGTTTTGTGATTTTAACCCTACAAATAAAGCATCTTTTCCTGAAATGATCCAGAATTGATCCAGTTCAAGTGAATCTGACCAACAAGTGTGAACCAAGTCGTCTTCTACACAATTTCTTGAGGAAAATATAATGTATATCTTTCCTTTGAGTAACTTAAATGTTTTCCTAAAAGAAATGGTACAGTTAGAAAGGAGGGCGAGTCCTGTAGTGAAGCAGAAGCAGCATGAGAGGAAATGTTTATGACTCAGCCACCCAGGTGGAAGCAGACTTTATACCAGATGAAAATAATGCTGTTAAAAGGTGCTTATGAGAATAAACAGAGCGAGCAGAAAGTCGGACGGCCTCAGAGATGGGAAAAGGTGCTCAAGATCATTATAATACTGTAATACAGACTATAAAGTCAATAAGGTGCAAATAAGTGCATAAACTGAATTATTACCATTAGTTAAGTAGTCAACTCGGATATTGTTTTAGTCAACAGTTACTTCTGATTGAAGGATTTAAGAGATTTTGAAAGCTGAGTTTTCAAAAATGTGCGTTATCTTATATATATTTTTGGTACAATAATGCTGCCTTATTGGTCAAAAAAGGCTTTTAATATACTTTTTTATGCAGCTGTACAGCGCAGAACAATTTGAACAGGAATTTGTTTTGTTTTTGTCTTAGTCTTCTAGTCATGAGAGGTCAACGCCCAAATTGTATAAATTACTATATTTCTTTTGGCAATGACTTCCTCCTACTTAGAAACAGAAAGGGTATTTCTGTTCTATGGTGCTTTTTGTAACATAATTGAATTTGAGGATTGTTTGTGTTCAGATATCATCACTAGAGAAATCTAATCCTCCATCTAATTCCTGGGCATCAGTCTGCTCTCGCTCTGCATGCATCACACGTGGCAGATCTCAGGAGCAACATCTCGACAGACAGGATTTTTCAGGCGTAGAAAAGTCAAAGAATTCTGTTCTGAGGTCAGAGCTCTCAGGAGAGAGGAGGCCGACGCAAAAGCAGCAAAGAAGTTATTTCAACCTGAAACTTTTCAAAAGTGGAATCCTGAAGTTTGGATGGAAGAATGTGTCAAAACTGACTTCAGCAAAAAGTGCAAAGTACGTGTGTTTATAAGCCTCGATTACACAAATTATTATAATTATTTAACACAAATACAGCCAAATTTTGAACTCATGACATCATGAGGTAGATGCAGAATTTATAAAATACTTAAAGCTGTGGCACCCAACTTTCTTTTCATAAATACATTTTGTTTGTCCCAATGAGCTTTATGAACATTGTCAGACTTTAATGCTGTCTCCAAGTTATAAGAAAGCATCTATCTAAGCATCATCTTATCTTTTGCATTCTTGTAAGAAAGTTAGAAGATTTGGGCTGAGAGCTGATTGGCCAATAGACAGTGGTTCCCCATTTTTCACTTTATTGTCAGAAAAAGCTAATCTTAAAGGTCTGAAAATACATGCATGAGAAAACTAGTAATAACACCAAAATGTTTTGAGAACGAGGAACTATTTACATACATTTCAATACATAGTTAAAGATTTTTGGGGATGGCTTAAATGTTTTTGTCAAGTGCAACGTTTGTCTGAAAAAATATATATTCTCCGATAAATCTTGAAGCCCCATCTCCTACATAGTATGGTATCCACTGGCAGTCTGTGGACATTAGCAGGAGAAGCAGCACCAAATATGTCCGGTATGAGGCCTACATCAGCGAGGAAATGGTTCCCAGTATGTCACAGTGCGGAGGGGCCCCAGGTGGCTCCCCGGGTAATGAGCCACATCAAGGGACAGGCCAGTTCACAAGGCAGAAGAGATCACTATGAGCAAATGTTTTACAGTATAGACCACTGTATGGAAGAAAATATGGCCATGATGTAGAAGCAATGTCCTTTAAATGCCCAATAGTGGATTTACTATGCAGTACGCTTCCCAGTTTGAGAAGCAAATGGCATTGTTCCATCATACAATAGGCAATTTCTCAAATCGTTTTAACAATTTACCCAAAAAAGCCTGCACATTGGGTCCGGCAGTACATCAGTCTACAAACAAAGTGCTCACTGCTGTCAATTCGTATAATTTGATGGAGTTGCAATTTTTTTTAAGTCAACAAGAATAAATTATATCATCCGTAAGAGTATTTTTAGATTTGTCCTTTAAATGGGCTGGCCTCGTTCCACGTAATTCAGCAATCCAAGGACACCATCTGAAAGCTCACTAAATAGTTCCTGATATTGTTCTTTGGTGAGCGTTCACAAACATGCCTTTCGTTTCCCAATTCAAACTCAAACTAAAACCAAACAAGCGGAAAAACAGATGTGCTCGGAAACAATACTATTGAATATACAAATTACAAGAAAACAAAGACCAACTTTCAGTGGCTAAGATAACAACAAATCACAGTACCTATAGTCCTAGAAAAGGTGTATTGTCCCTTTAATGAAAGGACTAAACGAATGATGCAGCAGCCCTGTTGTTTAAGTCAGAGAAAGAAGACGTACATGAAAATAACCAAGAAAAAATATTATACTGGAATAAACCCAACCAGAGCATGGGCCTCCAGAAACTTTTTTTGGAAATAGCTTCAGAAACACAGCACGAAATGGTTACAAATACCATCTCATAAATAGATCATGTGCTTCCAATGCACACTCTTCCATATGTGTGAATAATACAACAAGAGGCCATCTTGGAAAACACCACAAAAGCCGCAACCGCAAAATATAGTGAGAAAGGGTCGTAGTTTTGCTCACATAAATATTTTCACTCTACTTCAACACCTCATCGAGCGTCAGGCAGCTCAAATATTTGCTGAGTTACAACTATGTAACACAGGAAATGTGCTGGACCGAGATGTTACCGCATTTACAGCCAAAGCTTACACACTGAGGTAACAATTATAAGAAGAAAAAAAGCCCTACGCCCGACATGAACAACTATCCGTATAAAGCGGTGGTACAAAATGGTGTAAGGACATGTTCACACTTACCGGTCCGTTCAAAAGTGAATGCACCAATTCTAATAATGTATTCACTGATGATCATAATAATATGAAGGGGACTGACTGACATGTTTAACAAGAGTGCTCAGGGATGGATGAGTCTGTTTTTAAGGTTGTTAAAATGCACAAACTGGGATGTTTTGAGCTTCCAGGAATTATGCACAGATCCTTGAAACATGGGGTCGTGTTTCGTGCTGCAACATGAGGCGATGGTCGTGGATGAGTGGCAGAACAATGGGACTCAAGATCTCACTTTTTCCCCACTGGGTTTTGCGTTCCTTGCAGATGCAGGTCCAAGGACAGTGGTGATGATTTCTTGTGTTTTGTGTTTGATTTGACAGTTGCAAAGTTCTCCCAGGTGACTACTGTTGTGATTTAGGGCTAAACAAATAAATATATAGAATTTAATTGCTGTGCCTTCAGAGTGTAATCAATAAAATGCACCTGTGTTCTTGCCCATACCACTACAGCCACCATGTGCACACTGGGGTAGTCTTGCAGTGTTTTTCCAATGTGGTTTTACTGCAAATGGCAAATAAATTATTGATTCTATGCACGTTGACATCAGAAAACCGCTGAACAAGAGTAAAAACCCAGATTCCACCCAAAAATATAATTCTTGCGTGGCCAACATACTCACCGGAAATGTCACCCATTAAGAACATTTGGGAAGCTCTGGATCGCTGCATACAACACTGTGTTCCAGTTCCTGCCAATATCCAGCCATTTCAAACATTTCAGAGGAGTGGAGCAACATTCAACAGGCCAAAATCTACAACCTGATCAACTCTGAAGGAGATGTGTTACACTGCGGGATACAAAATGGTCTCACCGGATACTGACTGTTTTCTGACCGCTCCATGCCCCTCAAAAAAATAAATAATAAAAGAACAGGACTCCTGGCTAAATGAAAATTAATAAAAGCAAAACTTAACATATTTAACTCCAGCCAGCCTTTTTTGCTCCCAGCCACAATCCTAGTCAGCATAATGAGCCAGCTTTGTAAGGGATTGTCTCAGCAAAGACGAAGTGCTCATTGAAACGAATACATTTTTTAAGAGATCCTTTGTTCCTTTGGCTAGAAAACTGTAAAACAGATCTGTCTGAATTTAACATGTGCACTATTGTCTGTTAGTCAGTTAGTGAGAAATGTTTATAATGTATGTACTTTCTTTTTCATTACATCCATCATCTAGACTTGAGATTTGTAAACAATATTTGACAATGAGGGGTCTATTCAGTGCACATAGATTCAAAATAAATTGTATTTGCCATTTGCAGTAAAACCACATTGGAATACATTTGCAAAAGGCCCCAGTGTGCACAAGACAAGTACTTAAATAAAACAAGGTTAAAAATACAGAAATAATACAGGGTTCAGTTGAAGGCATAGAAAATCAGCAAAAACAAAAGTTTATGTTTGTGTTGAGTGGAGCACATTGTAAAACACTGCCAGGCTGTTGTCCTCTTGAGATGCAAAGCCACCACTGTAACATTTATCGAGCTCATTCTTAGGCATTGCTCAGCTCAATGTGTTGCCTCTGAGCGCTTTATAAAAGCTAATTTCATTTGTGCATCATGCAGCCTGCCTCATGAGGGAAGTTAAGTCAATGTTTTCTGGATCAGTGAGCTCCCCACATGTTTAACAATCGTTACATAACCTAACGTATAGATAGAATAACCAGATGTCATATTTATGCGACAAATGTTTATGAATAATCCACACCACAAAAATCTTCATTTTCATGCATTGCTGTGACTATAGCTTTATAAATGTAAACTCTGAGTGATAATCAGGTTAATATGACATAAGCAGCAGTCTAAAATAAAGGGCTATAAACAGGTTCATCCAATAACCACATCTTTTTTTAACCTTACAGAGACATAAACATGCTGAGAAGAGGTTTATTAACTCAAGATTCTATAATGACTGCAAAATTAAATGAAAATGTGTTTACAAAGTATTCTAATCAAACAAGAAACAAGTCATCTCTATAAAGATGCTCTCCAGAGGCATCACTTGAGCTTGGGTTTGATTTTTTTTTTTAATCCCATGTTTTTCTGACCTTTTTGGATCTAAACAACATCATGCATTTGACAGTATTGTGTAGAAAGATTTTTTTTTTAAGCTGAATTATTATTATTTTTTTTCTATATAACTTGCCCATCCCTGTGTCATTTAGACCCTTTTAGACCCTAAGTTGAGTAATTATTCTTCAATTTTTAATCACCGTGGTTGGCCATTTCGACCCGAGGGCAGCACAAGGGTTAAACACATTTCAACACTAGGGAGGTAGTAATAGTAATTAGTCTTAATTGGACATAAATATTTACTACATCACAGTAATGGGTGACAACATAAGAATATACACTCAAGTAAAGTAGGTAAGTCAGCAGCCAAATACTTTTTTCAATTAAACGGTGAATTCAAAGTAGGTGTAGCCTAGTTAGCTATTGTCAGTCAGTCCTAATGACGTAGTAGTAGTCGTATAGGCCTAATTGTTGTAACATGTGTATAAGTATTGCAAGTATATTTTTTGCACTAGAATATACAGTATTCAGACTTGCTTCTTTATAATGCTTCATTGTAGTTCAGAGCAATTTTTCCCTTCCATCTTTAACCATGTACTTCTCATTCCTACTGTTCTGTAACTGGTGATGCAACACTGAAATTAGGAATACAGGATCTCTCAATCATAATCTTAAATTGTATAGTATATATTTCTGACACATTCATCTCTGTATGTAGTAGCCTGTCCTCATCATTGATTCCAGCGTCCCACAAAGCAGTCGTTTTTCCATCGAGTTTGCCTTGACATCACTTCCCTATCAATGTCTGTTGATAATTACCACCACAGTCCCACAAACCCCCAGAAAACTATGTCATGTTTGTTCAATACGCTCACACTTAGCTCACAAAGTTCGAAAGGAAGTAACATGACTGACAATGGAGAGGCCAAAGCACGCGTTACAACTGCGAACCATCCCATATTGTCATTCTGGCTTGGTTCGCACGCAGCATTCTCAGCATTTTTTTGCCTCAATCAATCCCCTAATTTGGTTTTCGAACTGAGAAAACACAGAGTAGGCAATAAAAGCAACAACTTGGACAGAGAATTGGGGTTTTAAAGAAGTGCAGCTTGTGCATTATGCAGTGGGAAGAGTTTCCAAAATCCTCTCCTTAAATTTTACGGTCATTAATAAACAGCTTGAAGTGACCAATCATAATAGCCTGCATAAAGCGTCTGGAGCAAGGCAAGGCAAGTTTATTGGTAAAGCGCAAATCCTACACAAGGCAACTCAAAGTGCTGGACAAAACAAGATAGAGAAAGTCACACAAGGCATTAAAATCACCGTACATTAGAAAGAGTAAAGAGTAAAGTGCAGTTGTATGAACAGCTAAACAGAACTGTTTTTAACCTGGATTCAAACATTGTTAGAGAAGAACGCTCTCTCACAATTTAGGGAAGACTGTTCCAAGATTTTCGCTGCATGAATCTGAAATGCAGCCTCCCCATGTTTAGTTCTGACACTGGGCACCATTCCCTGCCTGTGCTCCTCTGAGTCTGTCAAAATTGTATAACTAACTATAATAAACACATAAACGACAAAAACAAGTTTAAGGACAACACACAATTTTTTGTTTTAGTGCATTTCTTTACAACTCCCACCCACTACTACTACCTACTAGACAGCCATAGATAATACGCTTAATCTGACTTCATCCACACTACCCACTACCAAGGATTTCTCACTGTCTAAATCACTAAGATCCTTCACAGCTTCAATCAAACATTAATCACCATTTTTAAATCCCTTGCACACGAGCAACCATCTTCAAACATTGCCTACACATATTAGTATCATTATGACTTCATCTATCCAAAACTTTCACAACAAGTCAACTACATAGAGACATTTTATCACTCCCACTTGTTTAAACTAGCTACAATTTCTTGCCAAGTCTACTTTAGTCATCTATTTTATAAACACACGTCTTTCTTTGCAATGAAAGGTTTATTCAATTGTTTATATTATATGGCTAGTCTCCATAGTCTTATAAGTCACAGAGAATAGACGTGAACGCATTGATCTCTGCAAGTGAATAGGCCATTTCAAATCTATCAGAAATTATATTATTTTTGGTTGTAGTGACCTGATATGTCCCTTATAGCTAAAACAAACAGTAGTAGCAGTAGCAGCAGTAGTAGTAGTAGTATCTTTGCATGTGAGCTTATGCCAATAGTAGGTTACTCTTCAGCAGTAAACAGTTCAGGGTGCCATACGCTGCACCCATATGGTCACCGGTGCCTTGCCTGTGTTAAAAAAAATAAAATTAAAATTAAAATAAAATCAGCAGAGTAGCTTGCTAAACAACGCTAATCAATTGCAGTTTTGGGAGGGGTTCGCTGAGACTTTTGCAATAAATCACTGAGTATTTCCATTCGAGTCCAGATTTCCCAGCCTCGCACCGAAAGACCGAGTAAGCAACGCCACTTCTGCGAATAAGAACCCAGCTTCCATACGTAGAAGACGCTGCTTACGGAAGTGCGCGAGGAGAGATGGGGGGAAAAGGCTTTACGTACCGAAAACACGTCTACGTCCGTGGCAGCCATAGCGGAGCGGTGTGCGGTAGTCTGGGGGAGCGGGCCTAGACTACAGCCGCCACCCGAGCTCAGAGCAGTGGAGGTGTGGACCGAGTGTGGACCGAGCAGAGCGGGGAGAGGAGAGGAGCAGGCGGCTAGAGGACTGGCTGCTGCGGAGAGCGGATTTCGGTGGGACACGCCCCTACCGGAAGACAAAAGTAAACATTATTTTTACCATATTTTCTTTTTTTATCTAATGACTATTATGATCATAATTATTGTTATTTTATTTTCTTCTTCTTCGAATTATTATTATTGTTTTTATTAATAGCAGTAGTAGTAGTAAAATCTGGAACAGTCTCCCTGAAAATGTGAGAGAGGCGTCTACTCTGTCAATCTTCAAATCCAGGTTAAAGAATGTTCTGTTTGCCTGTGCATACAACTGAAGGATTTTAGCTCAATTTTTAATGCACTGTGGTTATTCATTTATTTATTTGTTTATTCCTTGTGTAATTTGAAAGTTTTAATAGTTTTAATTTTTTGTGTGATTTTAATGTTTTAATTGTGATTCTGGTGTTTGTTTTATGTGATGATTTGTGATGTGGACTGTGAAGCGCTTTGTGTTGCCCTGTGTATGAAAGGCGCTCTACAAATAAACGTTGATTGATTGATTGATAGTAGAAGTAGTATAGTTATTATCATTATTGTTGTTATTTTTACTATTGTTGTTGTTATTGTTATAATTATCAGTATTATTGCTGGTGTTATTATTATAAGTATGTAAGCATCCATCCATCCATCCATCCATTTTCTTCCCCTTGATCCATTTCTGGGTCAGGGGGTGGCAGTCAGAGCTGCACCCAGTACACAGAGCACCAGCCCCTCACTGATCCTCCTGCAGGTGGTGAGTCCACAGGAGCTGAGATCTTTCAGCGGGGGCTTTGGGCAAAGTGGGGTTAAGTGTAATAATTCTGAAATCATTACGTTTAAGTTGTTTGCACTTTCTGTGGGCATTATTCTACAAATCAAAAAGTTTAAAATTATGTCCCCTGCCAATAGACTCTACCTGAAGGTCGTGGGTTCAAGCCCACTATAAGACCTACTTCACAAATCCCACTGATGACTGCTGTCGTTGTGTCCTTGGGCAAGACACTTAACCCCACTTTGCCTGAAGCGCCCACTGAAAGATCTCAGCTCCTGTGGACTCACCACCTGCTGGAGGATCAGTGAGGGGCTGGTGCTCTGTGGACTGGGTGCAGCTCTGACTGCCCCCCCCCCCCCCCGACCCAGAAATGGATTAAGGGGAAGAAGATGGATGGATAAACAAGCTAATTGAAAGGAATGCTTTTATTAATTTTTTTTTTCTATAATTAAAGTATTTACCACAGCTCTGTTTTTATAACACATAAGCTAAGATAAGATATACTTTATTGATCTCACACAGGAGAAATTTACATGTCACATCTGGCATGGATAGAAACACTCAAGATTGTGCAAAAAGAAAGAAATGTGCAGGATATATTATGTACAATAAAAGTGGCATTTTAAAAAGTGGAAATCAAGAAACAGTGTCAATAGTAGTGCAGGTTTTTTAACGGCTTGCTATATATGATGTGTCTGGCACATAGTTTCACATTGTAAGTTGAATCGATGATTTATAAACCCCTAGTTTGTGACTTCCTGTTACTTACAATGACAATAAAAAAGACATTTTCAGCATGTTTTGCATTGCCCGATGTTATTTCAACGTCTATAACTATCTTGCTCTGACTCTCACTCTTTGTTGAGCTCCACACTCTTCAACATGGCCACATCAGAGGAACTCCCTGAGAGCTCAGGAATGCCGCTGCTCACGTTACAAGCCAGGACATGGAGCGACACGGGGAGACAGCCGTGTGTCACCATCACCACTGCAGCTCACTCCGTCATTACACTTATATTATAATACAGACAGGATGACGGTGCGTTCACGTTTCATTGTAACATAGGGCAGAACCATCCCAGATTGAGGAAACAGGGAAGATTCATTCAAAAAAAGTGACGATATTCATCCACGTGGTCATATCATTTCTGAATCACAGGTAAAACTCGGAATTATTAGAATATCGTTCTATTTACGTCTGAGATCCAACTTACAATGTGAAACTAATATATGACACATTCAATGCAAAGAGATAAATCAAGCCTGTATAGCTCACATCTTGTACAATCCCTACAGAAATTGGAGCATAATAATCAATATAGGCTTGGCATGTGTCACTTTGAACAAGTCTATAGTGTACATCGGTTTCACATTTGTACACAAAATGAATACACTTTTGAACGATATTCTAACTTTAGAGGTTCACGTAGCTGTAAATGATTCACTCATGTAAAAGTCAATATCTGAGTAACAGTTAGACAATACACCTGGTGGTTTGTACGCCTGTACAAACCACAAAGATGCTGTATTTTTACCTCAGAGTTTAAACAGGAAATTGACTGAAGTATTTTAGGTATTGTGGTTGATTGTAAAAAAAAAAAAAAGTAAAAGTAATAATAATATCCATCCATCCATCCATTTTCTTCCGCTTTATCCGTTGCCGGGTCGCGGGGGCAGCAGTCTAAGCAGAGACGCCCAGACTTCCCTATCCACACACACCTCCTCCAGCTCGTCCGGGGGGACCCCAAGGCGTTCCCAGGCCAGCCGAGAGACATAGTCTCTCCAGCGTGTCCTGGGTCTTCCCCGGGGCCTCCTCCCGGTGGGACGTGCCCGGAACACCTCCCCAGGAAGGCGTCCAGGAGGCATCCGGAACAGATGCCCGAGCCACCTCAACTGGTTCCTCTCGACGTGGAGAAGCAGCGGCTCTACTCCGAGCTCCTCCCGTGTGACTGAGCTCCTCACCCTATCTCTAAGGGAGCGCCCAGCCACTCTGCGGAGAAAGCTCATTTCGACCGCTTGTATCCGCGATCTCGTTCTTTCGGTCATTACCCAAAGCTCATGACCATAGGTGAGGGTGGGAACGAAGATTGACCGGTAAATCGAGAGCTTCGCCTTTCGGCTCAGCTCCCTCTTTACCCACAACGGTCCGATACAGAGACCGCATCACTGCGCACGCTGCACCGATCCGCCTGTCAATCTCACGCTCCATTCTTCCCTCACTCGTGAACAAGACCCCGAGATACTTGAACTCCTCCACTTGAGGAAGGACCTCTCCACCCACCTGGAGAGGGCAAGGCACCTTTTTCCGGTCGAGCACCATGGCCTCGGATTTGGAGGTGCTGATTCTCATCCCAGCCGCTTCGCACTCGGCTGCAAACCGTCCCAGTGCATGCTGCAGGTCCTGGTTCGTTGGAGCCAACAGGACGACATCATCCGCAAAAAGTAGAGATGAAATCCTGTGGTTCCCGAACCGGACCCCCTCCGGCCCCTGGCTGCGCCTAGAAATTCTGTCCATAAATACAGTGAACAGAACCGGTGACAAAGGGCAGCCTTGGCGGAGGCCAACATGCACTGGGAACAGGTCTGACTTACTGCCGGCAATGCGAACACAGCTCTGGCTCCGGTCATACAGGGACCAGACGGCCCTCAGCAGAGGACCCCGGACCCCGTACTCCCGGAGGACCCCCCAAAGGACACCCCGGGGAACACGGTCGAACGCCTTCTCCAAATCCACAAAGCACATGTGGACAGGTTGGGCGAACTCCCATGAACCCTCGAGTATCCGATGGAGAGTATAAAGCTGGTCCAGTGTTCCGCGACCGGGACGAAAACCACACTGCTCCTCCTGAATCCGAGATTCGACCATCGGACGTAGCCTCCTCTCCAGTACCTTGGAGTAGACCTTACCGGGGAGGCTGAGGAGTGTGATCCCACGATAATTGGAACACACCCTCCGGTCCCCCTTCTTGTAGAGAGGGACCACCACCCCGGTCTGCCACTCCATTGGCACCGCCCCCGATCGCCACGCGATGTTGCAGAGACGTGTCAGCCAAGACAGTCCTACAACATCCAGAGACTTTAGATAGTCAGGACGGATCTCATCCACTCCCGGCGCCTTGCCACCAAGGAGGCTGCCAACCACCTTGGTGACCTCGGCCAGGGAGATGGAAGTGTCCGCCCCAACATCCTCAGCCTCTGCCTCCTGAACGGAGGACGTGACGGGGGGATTGAGGAGAACCTCGAAGTATTCCTTCCACCGCCCGACAATATCCTCAGTCGAGGTCAGCAGCCCTCCACCCGCACCATACACGGTGTTGGCAAAGAACTGCTTCCCCCTCCTGAGGCGCCGGACGGTTTGCCAGAACCTCTTCGAGGCCGACCGATAGTCATGCTCCATGGACTCTCCGAACTCCTCCCAGTCCCGGGTTTTTGCCTCTGCAACAGCCCGGGCCGCGGCACGTTTGGCCTGCCGGTACTGGACAGCTGCCTCAGGAGTCCCACGAACCATCATTGCTCGATAGGACTCCTTCTTCAGCCTGACGGCATCCCTTACTGCCGGTGTCCACCACCGGGTTCGGGGATTGCCGCCGGGACCAGCACCAGAGACCTTGCGACCACAGCTACGAGCCGCCGCATTGGCGATAGAGGAAGAGAACATGGTCCACTCGGACTCGATGTCCCCCTCCTCCGCCGGGACCTGGGAGAAACTCTCCCGGAGGTGTGAGTTGAAAGTCCGTCTGACAGGGGGCTCAGCGAGACGTTCCCAGCAAACCCTCACTATACGCTTGGGTCTGCCAGGTCTGACCGGCTTCTTCCCCTGCCAGCGGATCCAACTCACGACCAGGTGATGATCGGTTGACAGCTCCGCCCCTCTCTTTACCCGAGTGTCCCGAGACACGCGGTCGAAGGTCAGATGATACGACAACAAAGTCGATCATCGACCTCCGGCCTAGGGTGTCCTGGTGCCACGTGCACTGGTGGACACCCTTGTGCTCGAACATGGTGTTCGTGATGGACAGGCCGTGACTGGCACAGAAGTCCAACAACTGAACACCGCTCGGGTTCAGATCAGGGGGGCCGCTCTTCCCGATCACCCCTCTCCAAGTGTCACTGGCATTTCCCACATGGGCGTTGAAGTCCCCCAGGAGAATAACGGAGTCCCCGGGCGGTGCACTGTCCAGTACCCCTCCCAAGGACTCCAAGAAGGCCGGGTACGCTGCACTACCGTTAGGCCCGTAGGCCGTCACAACAGTGAGAGACTTGTCCCCCACCCGGAGGCGGAGGGACGCGACCCTCTCATTCACCGGGGAGAACTCCAACACGTGGCGGCTGAGATGGGGGGCAATGAGTATGGCCACCCCAGCTCGCCGCCTCTCCCCGCGGGAAACACCAGAAAAGTGGAGCGTCCAACCCCTCTCAAGGAGTTGGGTTCCAGAGCCCAAGCTGTGTGTGGAGGTGAGGCCGACTATCTCTAGTCGGTATCGCTCAACCTCCCCCACAAGCTCGGGCTCCTTCCCCCCCAGTGAGGTGACGTTCCACGTCCCAAGAGCCAGATGTTGGGTGTGCGGACTGGGTCGTCGAGGTCTCCGCCTTCGACCGCTGCCCAGTCCTCGCTGCACCACGCCACCACGGACCCCTCTGCAGGTGGTGGGCCCACAGGAGGGACTGCCCACGTCATCCCTTCGGGCTGAGCCCGGCCGGGCCCCGTGGGCTAAGGCCCGGCCACCAGGCGCTCGCTTGCGAGCCCCGACCCCAGGCCTGGCTCCAGGGTGGGGCCCCGGCTGCGCCATGCCGGGCGACGTCACGGTTTTCGTTGTTGTGCTGTCCATGGTTGGCTTCGGACTGCGCTTCGTCTGACTCGTCACTTGAGACCTGTCTGCCATGGGAGACCCTACCAGGGGCATGAAGCCCCAGACAGCATAGCTCCCAGGATCATCCGAGTGCTCAAACTCCCCCACCACGTTAAGGTGGCAGTCCAAGGGGGAGGGGGGGGTAATAATAATAATCATCTTTTATTACTGCATGTTTCAGGATCTTTAGAGGTACATCAGGCCTAAATATGAATTGATTTAAACTGTTTGTTTTATCATAGATTTTTGAGAAACTAGTAAGTAATTTAGTAATTAGATTTTTGAAACTATACTAAAATGCATAGCCACACTGTTTTTTGTAATAAAAGCCATAGCCACATTTGATTTGTCAGCTGTCAAAATAATGTGAAGTTATCGTTTATGTTAAACATAACATAAATATTATATACATAAACATGTAGGAAAGTGCATCATGGGATATTGTGATCAATAAGGAGTCGTATAGATATGTGCATTATGCAATAGGCTTGTGCATTATTAATGATGTGAGTGAGTAGCCTTAAGTATTTGTGTCAACACAGACTTAAGCAGGATGTCAAGGTGATTATAATTAAGTATGTGCAATGTTAAACAAGCCAATGGTCTTTTGAAATACACTACAGGGTGGTGCCTGCAGCTTGTTGCAGGTGTTAAGAAAAGAGACATCTGTCAACACAGACAACCATTGAAGACTTGGCTGCAGAAAAGTTAGACTGATTTATTAATTGATTTTATTTATTTATTTATTTATTTGATAGGGACAATGCACATTAATGAACATCAGTATAAAACAAATGTAAATATGCCGGATTATAGCTACAAAGCTAGTTTTCATCCGTAGTCCCTAGGCAGGAAAACACATGACAAAATACAATACAATAAAATACAAAATACCACTACAATACAACTAGCACAGAGAACAGTTAAGAGTCTAGTGGTCACATGACTGGTTTCTCTTAAGCCATTGTTTGATTTGAGTTTTAAAGGTGACCAGTGTAGGACTCTCCCATAAGTGCAGAGAGACTGTTCCAGATGTTCATGGCCTTCACAGAGAGAGTCTTCTGTCCAAAGGGAGTTTTTCTGAAGGGGACCTCGCAGTCTCCTCTGGAGGAGGCCCTAGTCCTCAGGCCACTTGAAGTCCTCGGTTTGAATAAGGCCGATACAGGAGGTGGGGCTAGTCCATGTAGCGTTTTGTAAATGAAGCATACATACTTAAAGTTGATAAAACGTTCAAAAGTGAAAAGATTGTGCTTGTTTAAAATATTGCATGCATGAAATGAATTGGGTTTTCTGTCAAAAACTTTAAGAGATTTCTTATACAGAGATTCAATTATTTTCAAATTGGTTACAGAGGGGAGAGACCAACTTGTGATGCAATATTCAATATGGGATAAAATCATCGAATGGAGAAACATTCTAGCTGCACTAAGTGTTAAAAAAGACCTGATTTGTCTAAAATTTTGAAGGTTGAATTTAACGGTGTTGGCCAGTTTTTTTTAATGATTTTTGAAAGATAGAGTGGAGTCGAGTGTCAGACCCAGATACTTGAATTCTGTGAAAACTCTGATTTAAACAGCCAGTCATTTACTTGCTCCATGGCTGAGGTCAAAATGGAAGCTGCTTCCTTAACGCTCCTTGCATGAGTATTTATTACAGCATCATCTGCATACATTTGAAAACTCACATTAGTACATGTTTTGGGAAGATCATTTATGTACAGTGAGAATAATAGGGGGCCAAGTATTGAATATTATATGTCGAGTATAAATGATATGAGCAATGCTTTCATTATAATCTATTTAGAAATAATACATAATCTATATAAAGCATAAATTCATTCAAAATATCACTCTAGAATAAAGAAAGATACTTGTTTACTCACACCATTCAAAACCTAATATTTGTGGATGCTATTCTGCAGTGTTTCAACATAATGTATAAAATACATAGCTTTGTATAAGCATATAGATCAAGTGAACAATGGTAGATGTTTAAGTCAGATTAAACTTGAAAATGTTTTTGGTTTTTTCATATATGGTTCTTCAAAAACATGAGATGCAATAGAAATGTTTATTCTGAATACTTCACAACTTTTTTTAATTGTGTTTTGGTACATGTTTATTTACTTCCCAGAACGTCTAACTGTGACTTAGATGGCTTTAACCCATTGAACCTTACCAATAATAGTCTACAATAAAAAAGTAATTTTGGACTATTCACAGTTTACCTGAAATCATGGGACAAACGCAAACGCACAGTGTTGTTCTACCCTCAGGTCTATTTGTTTTATCCACTGGTCACAACATTATTCAAACAGTATGTAAATGACCTATATCCACGTGTGCAAGTCCCTGGACAGCGCCTCCCTCAGGTGGAACAGCCCAGGAGGGAGGGAGAGAGAACGGCCGCAGGTGAGCCGTTGATCCACAGACAGACACATACGCGCCGGGATAAAGGACCTCACGTACCCCAGGGAACACGCACCGCATCTGGAATTAAATCTGCACACTCCTGGGACCGATTATTCACCATGGATTTAACGCAACAATCCGTGCTGTCGTTTCTCATCCAGGAGGGGGGCAAGGTGAAGAAATCCGAGCTGGTGAAAAGGTTCAAAGGTGCAATAGACTGCGATACAGAGGAGAAAGAGCGCAACAGGGACTTGTTCAAAAACTTGGTGAATAACGTGGCTGTGGTTAAAGAAATAGATGGAGTGCGTTTTGTGGTCGTCAGGAAGAAATATGAGCCTTTGGTGGAGAGTTTCCAAGCGCAGGAGAAAACTAAGGACTCAAGTGAAGACGTGAATGTCGTGCGTAAAGGTGAACCACAGCGCCTACCTGAGCAAAGCGAAGAAGAAAGCAATGACAATGAATTACAAGAAGAAGGGGACTGTGAAAGTGCTAAAACTGAAAGCCCGATTCAGATGGCTTTACAAAGGTGCAAATCTGACTTTAAGATGAAAAGAGGCATGACTTTTAACATCCAAAGTGAGGAGAAAAGGCAACACAGTGCGCAAAGCAAGCCATACGCGCTGCCTCTGAGAATTCCCCCCATAGACATTCATAAGATCAAAGCAGATGACCTAAACGGGCCTGGGTGCGTGAAGGGGGTCAAATCAGCGGATGCAAGCGCGACTGTGGGGTCCCCAGGTTGGAAAAAGTCACCAAAAAGCAGCAAAGTTTCTGCAGAGTTGAAAGAGAACCGCGGGCCGTCTGTGGTGCCGCTTGAGCAGACAGAGCACGAGTGGCTGGTGAAATGCGCCTCTGGTCACTGGAGCCAAGTCCACGGGATGCTCCTGAGGGACAGCCAGCTCGCAGAGAAGAAGGACTTTATCTCAGGGTTCACTGCCTTGCACTGGGCTGTTAAATTTGGAAACAGCGAGATGTTGGTGAGGCTTTTTGAACTGTCCAAACGGGGGGGAGTGGAGTTGGACGTGAACGCCAAGACGCACGGGGGGTACACGCCGTTGCACATCGCAGCGTTGCATGATCAAGAGTACATTTTGGCCATGCTGGTTGCAGAGTATGGAGCTGATGTTAAAATACGTGATAACTGTGGGAGGAGAGCGTACCACTACTTGCATAAGGGCGTGTCCCAGACCATCAGGGAGATGATGGGGGAGCCGAAAGCCACCAATAAGGAGCTCAAAGTGGTCCCGTGCGAGAAAGAGGAGCAGGATGTATTCCCTGAACATTCCAAAGGCCTGTACTCCTTAAGTAAATTGTTTCAGCCCCATTCGACTGGACATAAGAGGAAGGCAAAGCGGAGGCCTTCGCTGCTCTCGCTCCAGGATGAACCAGAGATGGAGGGGCGAGAGGAGCAGGCCAGATACAGGCTGATGTCAGACGTGCTCATGTGATATTTCTACACTAAGGAAGAGGATATTTTATTTTTAACTAATATACTTGAAGTGACTTGGGGGACATGATTTAAATGCAGCCTTATAGAAAGACTAAAGAAAAACATTGCTTGCCATTTACAACTCAAATTTGGAATGACTTCTGATCATATTCACAAAGCGTGTAAAGTCCAGGAAGTTATACTTTTATTGAAAGTATCATTGTGTATACTGTATTCTATGTTAAGTCCCTTAAAGGTCGGGTATATCTAACTGTTTTATTTCCTCAATCATATATGTTTGTCCCAACAGAAAGAGTTAACCAATCTAACCACTATCTTTTATGCACAAATGTAAGAAATCTTATAGTTATCAGTTGACATGCAGGGCTCAGAACTGACTATCTGACTATCACGGCTATCACTTTTCTGTGGATCTATAGATCTTTAAATATGTGCAGGACAATTATTAATGTTTTATTTATTACAAAACCATCTTTGAAGGGAGACGACACGCATTACACATGATTGTCGGACTCTGTGGATCAATCAAGATGTAATATAATGTGTCAAATTTAGTAATATCAAATACCACTTGTGAAATTGTAAATAGATAGGATAAAGTTTTATACACAAAACACCCATGAAAAGCTCAGCCCTCCAGATAAGTCTGCAATTGTTCAACATTATGTCAACATTGGCTGAAACAGGTATATTTCAACATGAGAATCACTATTCAGAGAAGACAAGTTAGGGGGAAAAAACATGTTTGGACCAGGAGGAATAACTTGTCAGCAAGTGGCATGGGCAAGTTTATTTGTATCGCATATTTCCTACACAAGGCAAATAAAAGTGCTTAAAATCATAAATAACTACAGTACATTCAAATGAGGGAAGATTCGATCCTTCAGTTGTGCGCACAGATAAACAGAATTGTTCCTAACCTGGATTTGAACTTTGTCAGAGTATTAAAACAATCAATCAACTTTTATTTGAACAACACCTTTCCTATAAGGCAACACTGTAGCGTTTGAGCCACTGGAACAGCCTCTCACCAGGACAGGAAATAACCACCGGACCAGAAGTTGCAGATTGCACAAAAGATAACTTATTTATTTGGGCAGCATCTCCCCATGCACACAACCGGAACACAACAGGAACACCCCAAGCCAAATGAAAGCATCCCCTTTTATACAGTGGCCCAAACTAAGACCTCCACCCACCCAGGGACACAACCATGTAGGCCTGTACTATTTACAATATTTATGACTACTTACATTTGTAATGTATGCAGATATGTTATAATAATAATAATTTATAATAATATACAATTAGTGGTGGTGTTATTTCACGGGAGTGGTGTGTGAATAATGTTTAAATAATGTTTAGTCCAAATGAAACACCCTTCTCTTGGAGGATCATGGTGGAGCCCAGCTGATTGCTCAGTTGGGTGCACCTGGCATGCACTGGGATGGGCGCGCCTCCAGCCCAGCACCTCCACCAATCACCTTCCAAGAAAAGAGACGGGACAAGTTAGGGACAGGGCAAAAATAAACAAAGTTAAATATTTCAAAATAAAACAGGAAGGATACACCTGTGGGTGAGGAGTGGGGACTACTCCTTCACAAACACAAAAGCGCCTCACAACATTAAAATCAACATATACATTAAAAACAAGCATTTAGATCAAAAGAAATATTAAAAACAGATAATAAAATCACACAAGTAATTCAAAACTTTACTGTGGTTATTTGTGATGATTTTCAGCTGTATAATTGTCAATACTATATTGTCAATTGCTCAACATTGTGGTTTAGGTCAATGACGTATTGTAGTCTGCAGCCTGAAGCACTTAGAACAGTCACGCAGACAGGCTTGTATGGGCAAATGTCTCGACCCCATTCGACGATATTAATTACTTTCGCAGCTAAATCATCTCTTGGTTTTTCATTATCTGCCTCATATATTAATACAAGGGAAAACAAATGATTTCTTATGTTCAGATTCTAAAAGAAAGGCGTTTTGAAATTATTCTCACATCAAAAGACAGTTTCCCACTATACCAAATACTATCTGGATGTGGCAAGACTAAGCTAGCTCGAAGTATTTGGACGATATTACAAAAGTCAATGCACATGTTCTCGCAGATCAAAACAAAGACATTTATCACACAGTCTCATCTTAAGACTCAAACAGGCATTGTCTTCGTTTGAGGATGTGAAATATGAAGAGGGCCGGGGTTAGTGGTGACTGATAAGTAGATTACTGCTGCACAAGGACAAATTGTGCTCTGAATGTTCCAAACTATACACAAGTAAGGAAAAGTACTGTAAACAGCCCTTTTTGTGAAATTAGTGCAATAGGAGTCGGGTCGGGAGAAGATACAGTGCGTGTTGAGACAGATGAGAGAGCAGATTAGTAGCAGTTAGGCAAAATATCTGTAAATATATTTGTCACGACTGAAATAGTTTTAAACTTCTTTTGAATCTTACATAGACTTAATGTGATGAGGTTTGTAACTAAAATAAGATGAGGTTTGTAACTAAAATAACTAGCAAGAAATCACTTCTAAAACAATCTTATCGAGGGGAAGAGATAAAAAATATAATAATAATAATACAGTTTATTTCGAACAAATGAGTGTACAAGAAACAAAAGTAGAATGTCAAAATTGTGCATAAATAACCCTGAGTTACACTTAAATAAATGATAAATGTTATATACAGAAGAGAAACATTTGCAGATACTTAAAAAAATGTGAAAAATTCTATATTCACTTTTGGTATCTAAACAACTAATCAATTATCAACAGAATAATCAACTAACTATTATTAATTACAGCCTTAATATGTATCAAATGTATTCCAGAAATGAGTCCAGGCGTCCTTTGCTACAGGTTTAATAAATCTGACAAAGTGAGCGCCTTATTGCCTCGCTGCCTCGAATGAATTATTAACAAAGTCACACCTCTTTTAACTGTGAACGTCCAGGGCTTGAAATGGAGGAAGCTCTTTTGACTTTGAATAAAAAATAAACTGTGGAAAGGTGGTGTGTGTGTGTGTGTGTGTGTGTTATGGTGAAGACGTGTCCAGGTGTTCCATAAATCATTACTCCTCTTCAGTGACGTGGCGACGCTTCGGTCTGGTCCAGGCTTGTTGAGACAGCTGTGAATCCTCAGAGCAGCAGCTGACTGTCTGCAGAGGAGCTGGTGGAGCTGATGGTGTTGATGGTGTTGATGGTGCTTGTGATGGTAGGTAAGGACTGGTATTTATCATTGGGGATTTGCCTCTATATGAACTCTATAGAGACTAAAAAACAGGTCAGCATGATGTCAAGAATGTATTGGATCAACATTGTTTGGAGTAAAAGCTGGGGTACCTAACTTTCAAACCACAAAATATGAAGCTATAATAAAATCTAGTTCCTGGCTTTTTTTTCTCCTCATATATCAATATTATTCTTATAGTATATCAAGATTATTCCCATACTACTATATATCAAGACTATTCTCATAATATTTCAAGGTTAATTTTATTATTTATTTATTTATTGTTTATTTGGTTGAGACAGTACATGTTAATGAACACATCACTCCGGATTGTAGCGATGGGCTAAAATGCATCCGTTTGTCCCACATTCACACTCACAAACACTCATTCATTCATCCTGAACTATTTCACATGTTTTTAGTGGTAGGGGAAACCGGAGTACCCGGAGGAAACCTACGCAGACACGGGGAGAACATGCAAACTCCACTCAGAAAGGCCCTGTTCCGACCTGTTCCACTCAGCCACCGTGCCGCCCAATCTCGTAATCTTGCAACTTCATCTTTATTCTCATGATATGTTTTCTTTAAAGTCAAAATATTCTGACTTTAATCTCATCTGGAAAATAAAAAACCTGACTTTTGTTTTTCACTAACAACTAACTAACTAACAAACACACCCACATGAAAACACCACCTTGGTCGAGGTAATTACATGGACACAGTTGCTCATACAAAAGAGCAGAAATGGGCCGAGGTTATAATAACAAGTGTCAAATAAGAAAACAGAGAAAAGCAAATCAAATCTATATTTTTTCATAAAACAAAAGAATAGGTTGAAACGATGACAAAGCACCAGACCATAAGTGTGTTTAAGCTCGTGCTGGTCTGTCCGCCGGCTGCTGCCTCGTCCTGTTAGTGTCTCCCCTCAGCGCTCACAAATATAAATCATAATTTCATGTTTGGGCCCAGGGCGTTCCATGTCGCCATGACGATACTCTGAGGGCCGGTGCAGTGGAGGAAAATAACAAATGTAGGCTACAAAAGTAAATTGTTTTTTTTCATAGATAGATTAGATTTTGCGTTTCAAATAAACTAAAAATGACAATAATATCTACATACCCACATATTTACTCCGTCATTGAAGCTGGAGTATTTGTGTATGTCAAATAATCTATCTCTATTTTTCACATGTAAGCATTATTTGGCCCCTGTCACATTTTTGGATCAGCTTTTTCAGACATAAAAGTGAAAAAGAGAGGACCGGCCTCACACCCCCTGTTGTGGTCTGATTCGTTCACAACATTTTATTTTTACAAGACTCTTTCTCTTCGGACAAAGAACTTGTATTACTCATCTCGCATGGCGCCGGAAATATGGCGCTGTGGCAAGATCCTGGTGCACACTGGGGTAGTCTTGCACAGTTTTTCCAATGTGGTTTTGCTGCAAATGGCAAATAAATTCTTGAATCTTGAAATAAAAAATGAGTTTGGGCGACAGCCAGTTTTACCGCAACCTTTGCAATTTAAATGAATAATGACATTTATTAACATTTATGGACATTGGTCATCCCACTCTCTATGGACAAATGACTCCTATGTCTTTGTTATTAATATCTGTGTTATTATTGCATTTCCTGTGTTCGAACTGTTTGATTCACCGATCTGTTGTTGGTGAATCGACTGATGGCTAAACAAAAATAGATTGAATTGAAATAAATAAATAGATGGGTTATTGTTCTGTTTATGGCAGTGGGTGAATGGACTGGGTTGAAGCTTTTGTTGAAGACAAAGCTCAAAACACACATGGCATCAGCTCCTTGCCCAATGTTTGCTTTGAGGGAGTTCACCAGATCGACATACTAAAATGATGTGCTGTTAAAATGGAAGAGATTTTTGCTTAAACAACATTGAGTTTGTATATGTTATCTTTAGGTCAAAGATTTAGCTGAATAATACTTCTCAGAAAAGCAAATGTTGAATGGGTTTGGGCAAAAGAAAAAGATTCTTTTGCCCAAACCCAATGTTGTTGTTATTGGCAAGTCTGTCCTTTGATACAACAGTGAGTTTGGGCTGTACACAACTTTGTTAGATTTATTTATAAAGTTTAAATATCAGAGAGTTGTGGAGGAAGCCAACACACCAGGAAGAGAAGATTTTTCCATTTTTCCATGGAGTAGACTCAATAAAGTTGAGGTATCCAACTTTTATGTGTCATAAATAATACATGTTGTTGTTAGTCCTAAAGAGTCTGACAAAGTAAAATGTTCAGACCACAACATGCATTCAAAACAGGCATTTGACGCTTTGGACTTTATTACCTTTTCTTACCTTTTCTGCCTGAAAAAGCTGACAAAGGCTAAAAATACATTTATGTGAAAACCAGAATCAAGCTGTTATGAGAGAGGAACTAGTTAGATTTCATTACATACTGTAGTTCCATTTGAAAGTTAAGAATCCAAGCTTTAATCTAGAATGCACTGTTAAACTGTGATACATTTTCTGTAATACAAACCGCATATCATTTTTTTGACATAATTCGAAACAGCGCATTTATCATTAGCAAATAAATGATGCCCGTCATGTTAACAGATTACCCCATGCCCTTTATGTAAACTCAGACAGGAGTTCAGTTTTCCATTTTACTGTAAGGTTCATCTGCATCTGATCAGGCCATAGAAGCTCTCTTCATTTCCACTGTTGGCTTCGGTTCAACACATACCAAGAGAATGTATGTGAGTAAAATAAAACCATGCACTGGAAAAAAAAGGCAGATTTTGGCACAGATTTTGAGTTTTCCCAATGCTCCTGGGTTCATGCTAACGCCACTCTTCGTCTTGTGAGCTGATGTGACAGGTGAAACAGCTACAGTATGTAGTAAAGATATTATAGTGGAAAATCTTTCACTCAAGATGTAGTTTCATATCTGAATCACCTTATATTGAAATGTGTTTAGTGATATATAATTCTTAATAATCAACTTTCAATAATGTTTCAAATAATAAATTGTACCTACAGCATATAGCACATTTTGAACACTCAAAGATGCCTTGCAAGGGACAGGATAATAAACAAAAAAATAAAAAGCTATAAAAAGTTTTGAAAGTCAGTGATTTGAAGTTCTGACGTGAGTGTGATTTCCTGGTGTTTTGGTGCATCGAAGAATCGGCCCCCCTGTGAGGGGGCAGAGGTGCCAAGCCCATCAGAACAAAGGCTTGCCACTTGGGAGTGAGGAGGTTGGAGTCAGAGCAATTGGGCCCTGTCACCCAATCTTCATGGCATCCTGCAGTTGGTGGTCCACAGGAGGATGAGTCTTTCAGCAGGGGCAAAGTGGGTTAAGTTATGTGTTGTGAGGGATTCAAACCCACACTTTGATCCAAAAAACAATGCTCTACCATCCGAGCCAGTGATATTATAGCTTAAATCATATGGCCCAGCTCAGAGTAAGTTTAGATAGATAGACAAGGATGTAAATATGTTTATTTATATGTATATAGGAATATGCACAAGCACTTTTTGGGCATATGCAATGTACTTCTTATTCTGCACCACGCTAACAATTGTATTGCAGTTGTTGCTTATTGTGTAAATACCTGTTTTTATTTGTGGTACTAACATATTATTGGAATTTTACTAGTATATTATTTTATATCCTGTATGGCATATCCTTGTGTTGATGTGTAGACAAGCCGATTGTCCTGGTGTGGAGAGATGTGTGTTCAAATTTCCCTGAAGGGACAAGGGAACCTTGAACCTAGTTTGTTTTGTTTGAGTGCTCTTATTCCTGTTTTGTGTTATTGTGTGCAACAGGGCCACTAACATTCCCGTCTGTATAACAAAGGTTCTCTTCTCTTTGGTTTCAATAATACTGCCACATTGGAGGAAAAAGCGTTGTTTCGTCATCAGCCTGAGGTACTGAGTTCACATGTTTAAGCTGAGCATCTGTCCAGGCTGAGTCACTGTGGCCTCACATATTCCTCACCACTATGACCAGAACGATCCTGCCTCGGGACTCTGCAGCTCTGCCCCCTCACAGGCCGCGGGACTACGGCCTGGACTGTTTGTTTTTGAAGGAGAGTTTCGCACTTGTCAGAATACAGGCGATGATGACAAATAAGCTTATCTCTGCTCAAAGTAACGCCCCAAATAGTGACTAAGCAGGAAGTGGTGCGAGTCAAAATAGTGGTGGTGTATATAGACAATAGAAAGAATGAAAAAGACTGTTCAAAGTCACAAACCGATGCTACTTTTCTAAAACGTTGCTGTGGCTTGTAATCAGCAGGAGCAGGGTTCTTCATTACCAAACACTTATTGTCTCGAAGCCGCTTTGTTTTGTCAGCCTGTGTTTTAAACTAACCACATACAATTAACATCCTCTTAAAGGCAGTTTTGAATGGACAACAGTATTTTTAACTTCCTCTTTGTTAACTATTGTACATGTTTTAACTGCTCTTGGAAATTATCACAACTTTTCACCTCTATAACACTTCAATAAAACAACTCTGAGCAATCAACTTTAACAATTGAGTTTATAGAGGGTTGAAAGTACCATCGCAAATACAGTAATAGTTCTAGAGTGAGGAGATAAAAGAAAATTCAGAAGTAGTTAATAAATTAGGACTGATGCAGGTCTGAACCAGAATGTTTATTAATTACAAATTTAAACCACTTAATGGAACAGGGTTGTATGTTATTTTCCACTAAATCGCAGTAGAAAGCAATAAAGTAAAAGACAATGACCCTTTCTATAATAACATGATTTCCAAACATCTATAAAAGCATAAACATTTATATAGAAAAAACCAAGAGGAAATGTAACGACCCTATGTTTGGATAGAACAAAATCAACCTGTGTGTAAAAAAAAAAAAAACAAAAATCACAATAAATCATTTGAATTATTATTAATATTAGTTTGAAACAATGTTGATTATACACCTTTTACAGATGTTAGTGGCAGCCCACTTCAAACAGTATTAGTACAAAATACTTTGAAGTAGAAAGTTACTGGCAGAGGAGATGGAATGTGAATAGTTTAAGTGGCGAGGTCAGCACACTTTTGACAGAATGCTTAGAACTTGCAAGAAACATGTAGCACCGTAAAAATCTTAATTTCTAAAAGATGTGACGGGTCGACACAATTATTTCCCTCAAAACAAAACGCGACTGGCTATTCTCCCGTGTTCTTTGCCCTCCCATTCAACCTTGAAGCGACACCACAGAATTCTAAAGATGTCTGTAACTCACACTGGTGACACGGATATACTACAAATATAAATATACTACAATTTTTTGCTGAGTATCCTTCTGTGGCTTTTCCCTCTCGTCTCCGCGTGCTGAATTGTAGACGCATTGGCGAGCAGAGGTGCGGACACAGTGGTAGGCTGCAGCAAGAGTACGCCAGGTGCATTGTTGACCACATACCGGACCAGTGGCTGCGGAGCCGGGGCAGAGAGAATGGGCATGAGTTTCTGTGGAGCAGGGGGCGGTGGGGCCGTTAGTTGGACGGGAGCGAGCAGGAGACGCTGAGAGGTGATGGGCAAGCCGGCTGTGATGAACAAGGAGGACGGAGTTGCAAGCTGTTGTGGCAGAAAGTGACCAGCAGGTGGAGCATTGGCGGTGTGTGCGACTTGGGTCTGCTCTGGAGTGACGGGGGCTGGAACAGGAGCTGGAAGCACTTCGTCACTACATGGTGGCAGAAAAGGTTCTTCTTTCACATCGTCGGACAATGTTTCCACCTTTATTTCTTCAGATTTTATTGGGGTCATGTCTATATTGTTGGGTGGTTGAATAGGGCTTTCCATGTCCTCCTCTTTGCAAGGTGAAAGTAAAGTCTCCTCTTCTACCTTTACTATAGTGAGAAACAAGGAGGCATCCTCAGTGCACTTGGCATTTTCAGTGCTGGTATTGTTTGAATCCGGAAAGTCTAAAGCTGAATTTTCACATTCCAATAGCGGCTTCTCCTCCTGAGGTTGCTCCTCTCTAGGGCAGTCCGGCTCTTGTACTGAAGAAGCACAGGGTTTAACCGCCATTTCCATGTCATTATCACCACTATTGAAATCCCCTAGAATAATCAGACAAAAATCAGGATCATAACATAATGTTTGCCTAGTATTTGATTAATTTACCGGCATTGTAGTAAATAATAGTAATACGGCAATGATCTACAGTAAAACCACATGTATGTACCTGAACATTCTTGCGGAGCTGCGTCGTCTATAACTTTCTCTCCGCAGACGAGCAGTGCGAGCTGATTGACGGAGTGCGCTAAGGCACTGCTGCGGACCGAGAATGGGGACTGTGCGCTCTTTCCAGCCCTGGCCGCATTCCAACGAGACAAGCCATCCAAGAGAAGAGCTTGGAAAACTGAGGGACTTTTCTGCTTGTCTGTTGAATAAAAAATACAAAAATATATTACAATAAAAATGTGAATGAAGCTTTCTTATGATATTTTTGTTAGCCACATGATATTTAACATTCATGAACCAACAACTTAAAGCTGCACTAACTCACTTTGTGAAATTTTCGAATGCGAGCGCTGGGCTTGCTCTTCTTCTCGCCCTCCCCGCACTCACGGAGCTCTCGTCCCCCTCTACCCCCCTCCCCCTCAGCCTGTGCTTGCGGGTTTACGGAGCTCACGTCTCACAATATGGATCGCACATTTGAACGTGGATGGCGTGACCTTAGAATGATAGAACCAGGAGGCGCGGAGGAACAAGACTGTCCTTTGGATGGCTGTTTCGCTGAGTAAGCAGTAACCGGTAAAGAAGACACGGGAAGTTTCAGGTTAGCCTCCGCCGCTTGTTTACTTTAGCTGTCTGTGCTAACCAGAGACCTGTAGATTTTCAAGAAAGTGGGGGGCCAGTGGTCCGCTGTGATTGGTCACAATCTGGTCCCGAAACACATTCTCTTCTTTGTTGCACAAAAACTCAATCTAAAATAAAATGACGCGCCAGCACAAATCTGCACTACTTATTCTTCAATCAGAATCAGAATATTTTTTTTATTGCCACGTAAGTAACAGGAAGTAACAGACTTGGAAATTGCTTTGGCTCAGTGCAACAGTCAGAAACTTCAAAAAGGACGTATATCCCAATGCATTGCAGGGATATGAATGGAATTTTCATAATGAATACAAAAATACAGTGAGGTAATGCAGCTTTAACATGGGCGACAAATATATATCATTTAATTTTGTTCTCAATTACAATTAAAAAACTTACTTACTTACTTAAATAAAACGATAACATCCTGTAGTGACAAATAGTAAATATAAGGGGTCCTAACATGGAGCCCTGGAGCACCCCTTTGACAACAGTAAAACCAACAGCCCATTGTACCATCTGCACAACACACATTTTAATCGCAAATCTTTGGATTATATATCATTATATATCATACCTGCGTGAAATTTCTTCATGTGTTGGCTGAACCTCTTCATGAACTCTTTCCCTCTGGCACATTGGTACACAGGGAGCATGCGACCACCTTTCTTTTCCGTCTTAGTCTTTGTATACAGCGTCAGGCCTGGTGGATTCTGGAGACAAGGGAGGTGTCTTCTCTGATCCTCCCAAACTTTATCTATAAGTTCCGAGTTGAAAAGCGGTGCACCATAAAGATCATGGACCAGCTTTCCTTTACATACTTCAATAACGCGCTCTATCCTCTGCTCCATGTCCTGTGTGTTTCGGACAAACTTCTTGCAGTGACGTTTCATGTCTTCTTTCTTGACGTGCCATGTCAGCTCAGATTCAGTGGGTGTTGATCCATCCTCTTCAAGTTCAGCCCGTGTGGCTTCTCTCAAACGCTTTAAATCCTTCTCATCCCATTCCAAAATGCATTGAGAAAGCTCAGACATGAAATAAGTGTATGAAAGACCAGACTGGTTTATGCAGCCCGGGGCAAACCCCTTCTTAAAATGCCCAACATCTAATCGAATTGCCATTTCAGGCCATTCCTGAAATATTGTCTTTATTCTCGAAGCCCCACAGCATTCACTATCTACGTAAAGAGCTTTTGGTGGTTTCACTCCTGCTTGTTTGTAGCGCTGCACGAGACCGGCAGCCATCATTGTCAGGTCAGAACCTTTCGCCTCCGTCAAGACATTTGTGATTATCTGTCCATGTTCGTTCCATACATTAGTGACCCACACAGTTTTAGGTTGCTCTTGACCTGAGAAATGTAAAACCATATTAATGCTGGTATCGATTGTGAGCACCTGTCCGAAGAGAGATGTTATAGATGCTTTGATCTCATCCATCCTGCTCACTGTATCTTGAACGTAAACTTGTAATAACCAGTCATAGTTTGGAAAAGGAAGCATGGCTGGCAACTCCTCAGACACAGCAGCATCAACACCAGCCCTAGAAGAGGATTGGGCAACATTCATAAATTGTAGCTTCTTGTTTACCCATTCCTGTTCATATTGCTTCTTCAACACATTTTCCACCCATTTGAGGTTATCCAGTCCTTTTGCACGCATGAAACGCACAACTCGATTGTCACATCCGAGCGTCCCACTGAGAAGGCAAGGAAACGCAAGCCGCACGCCAAAATGGAGCTGAGAGATAATACTGTTACTCCAAGCTTCGAAAGATTGGTTGCAGCTCGCACAAGAAAGCGATTCAGACGCCAAGAAGTAGAAGTTTTCATAGCCAAATACTTGCTTTAATTCTTGGTGTAGTCCTTCATAGGTCAACTTTGTATTTTTGCACCGTGGACAAAGCAGATTTGCATTCAGTTGGCTGTGAGGCATCCAGAGGAACAGCGGATGCCCAAAATACTGCTGCAATTTTGGGACGCCGTTGCAGTTTTGCGGTGACAAGGAGGAGGGCGAAGGAGGGTAATGCCAGTGATGATCGGTCTTCATGGGGTCCAGCTCTGGTAAGGAACTCTCAGACCATCTGAACAAGGATTCAGATATCCAAACCTGGTCAAGTTCAGGCAGGGTAGTCTTCCAGCCAGTAGGTAGACAGAGGTCATTTTCTACACAGGGAAATAATACATACAAAAGTTAACAAGTGGCCAATAAATGTATGCAATAAAAAGCTTTTAAATATCCATCCATCCTGGAATCCTGGGATGGAAGGATGGAACAGGGAAACGTACCAGACACATCTTCTTGCCTCATTTCCTCATCCGCAGATGCAAAGGAGGCTTCAGCCTGAGGGCAGGTGGGTTGATTTTCATTCATTGCAATGAGAGATCTATTTCCAAAAACAAAAAAGTGCATAAAAATAATGTATACATGTTCTCACAGTGTGGATTGTGATAAGCGAGAGTACCCAACCCCTTAAATATAATATGTCCACAATAATATTCCAATATTAACTGTTGGGAGTCCCTAAATCTCTAAACAGTTCTACCACCTTTTTTAGACATAATTGTGAAAAAGAGGAGATAGCTCTTGCTCAAAGCATCAATAAAACTGATTCAAATTATTAATATATATGTAGTATATGCATTAAAAAGGAGAGACCCCAATCATGGGAAGGGAGAGAAATCCTTGATATTCTTTCTCTTTCCTTGAGTTTGCTCCTGCTTTTTTCTTAGGTTGATATAACATTTAAATAATACAAAAATCGAGCTAGATCAATACGAGGAAACATATCGTGATTGGGAGATTTAATACACCATATCGTCCAGACTTCTCCCAGGGCTGTTTCTTTACACAACACGTTTTCACAAAAGATGAAGATTCATGAGATCTGGGTCTGATTTGCAACTTGTGTCACTAACTCGTTTAACCTGTAGTAGATAGCAATCTTGACTACGGTAAGAGAATAAGGAAGAGAGGAAAGAATGTAAGAACAAACTAATTACAAAAGGTATGTTTTGCTTTTTTGTGGAAGCTGAGGTCCTGAGTCATAATAGTTAGCTTATCTAGCTAGCGTAAGCGAAAATGTGCACCGGCGAAACATGTGGTTTACGTAACTTACCAGTATGCAGCTGAATCCACGCTGAAAGTTTGTATACTTGAACCTTTTCACTTTTTCTGCACCATATGTTGGCATCATGGTTAGCGTAACAGAGACATGGTGCTTGCAGATTTCATGCTACGCCCCCAAACAGCAGTGCAATCATATTATGCTTTTTTACCATTATTGCAATGACCGACCTCAGCAGCACAAGATCTGATTGGTCATGTGAATGAAGAGGGCGGGTGTTAACTCAGAGAGGCTCTCTGTGATTGGCCAGAAGTCTAGAGGAAATGTAGCTGGAAAAGAGTGGCCGCAGTTCTTAAATTCAGCCGGCAGAGGGCAGCACTAACTAGCCTATAACAGCACCAATGGTTGTTTTCAGGTATCAGTTATTATTATAGATCCATGGTCAGGACTGAGTGGAAATCTGGGACTAGATTAAATATTGAACCTATAAAAGGCCCACAACCATAATTAAAGACCGTTATTTATTAAAAGTGTAAGGCCATTCATAATATTGGGTGAGATTCATGCCATAAGGACAATGATAATAAACAATATAAAAAATATATATACTGTACATACAAATTCGATTTTTTGTGAATAAATCCATAAATGCACATTAGATATGTTAAATAAATCCACTATTTTTAATGAATATAGCCTTTCCCATTGATTAATCATTACGACATAATTTGTTTAACACCAACACAATTCCTGTTCCCCTCTGGTGGTGCTTCTCCTCTATGACTTTTCTAGTTCAAGTCTGTACAAGGTGCAGGAAATAGTTTTTATTTTGATGTCGACTATCCTAGACCTGTGTGTGTTTGTATATCTTCTATGTGAGTAATTATGAAAAACTAATTACATGGTCAAAATGATTCAAGAAAATGTGATCAATAAAATGCTACTTAACCCCCTGTCTCGTTCATTAAATGTTTTTTTTCTTACATGATTGTGTATCTAACCTCCTCAAAGTTAAATGATGTAACAATGTACATTTATATTTGAGAAGGAACATAACATTTGATTATAAAAAATACAACCCTTAGTTTGAATCTTAATTTATTCACAATACAAACATAGAATTTACAACTCCAAAGAGGCACAAACAAAATCAGATTTTTAAGGAGAAAACCAGTGTTGGAAATGTCGTGTAATTACCATACCATTGAAGCAACAGTTCATTTGAAAGTTACACACGTCCGGAATCTGAAACTAAATCCTCAACTAAACAAGAATAATCCTATTTAGGAAAAAGCCTCAATGCGCTTTCTTTGACCACAAACAATGGGACAACAATGACTCAGGGAGATCAATGCACTGGTTATCAAACTGTGGTGCAGGAACGGGCATTCTTCAGGATTCTGTAGAGTTAATTTTTTTTCCTCAAATCTGGTATAATTTGGGTTTGTATATATATTTGAAAACATGAGTTAGTTCCGGCTCAAGATGCAACTGTAAACCAGATTTCACAACCTGGTTTTAGTTGCAATTTCTAACAAAGAGGTGAAATATTGAGTTCTGGATGTAGTTTTTTTTTTTAAATCCTCCTGGACTTGACACACAGGTCGATTGAAGAAAAAAGTGCAGAGATAATAAGAGGAAAAAACCCTAACAACAGCAGATGTCCCGCATAAGATTAGTGCACATTTATTGTTTACTGGACTCGAAGCAAATGCAAAAGTCCACATCATGACCGGTGGACCAGTACATAAAGCATAATTATTACCAAAGTTCACTTCAGACTGCGAGTTCTTCTGTAGTGATTGATTTGCAAGAATACCAAGTAGCAGACTACCGGTACTTTTAAATGCACTACAATCCAGTTTGTCTTTGCTGGTTAAAGAGTTATTTATGTTTTCTTGTTAAACATATTGTTGAGTCTGGATCTTGCTGGATCATAAGTCTGTATTTTTAAACATATTTCCAGATTTCCCTCAAGCCATCTTCATTATTAGGCTGAGTGTTCCTTGTTGCCCCTACTTTTGCCGTTTTGTAATTCGCCAGATGGCAAGTGCACACAGTTTGAGAATCAATGTTGTTTTAATGCATGCAGGCCACACATTTCTACATCCAGTATAAATCTTGGTCGAGCTCAGAGTCTCCTGCGTCGTCAGCACAAAAGCCAAAACAAACTCACTTTTGTTCGGCCTGCTCCTGCGGCCAAACAAAGTCGTAAATTACTGAAGACAGATCCGCTTAAAAGGCACAAAAGGAAACAGCCGTTTAGCACAAAACAAGCCAGGAATGTACAGTATTCAAAACAAAACTTATTTTAGATTTTAACAGCATTTAAGCAGAGGGAATCCCACGTGGTTCGCCTCTTTGTGGTTCCATTACTCCAGGCACAAGTTAATAATGTGATGACTTTACACAAGACCGCTGTCGTCTTTGTTTGTATACTCAAAGTCTTTAATTGTTGAACAAACATAAGTTAGGCAACCTCTATTTGTGATCTGACAAGTTGCTCAGATCACACTCCAGGAAAGAAACTAAACTATTCAATAGCTTCCATAATTAAAACTAATATTAAACCCCTGTCAGACCCGGCCGTTTTGACAATTTTTAGAAAGCTAAATGTTTGTATTTTGGATTGGAAAGCATATGTGGACAGCAATTGCAGTTAACACATTAATCGCAGCCGAGGCACTGGCTATAAATATTCAAACATCTAATTGTCCCCGTTTTGGCTCAAATTTGTATTGAATTTTCTGCAGTGCGGCATTAAACTTCCCCATCTGCACCAGGTGATTTCAGCAGGTTAAGTTACAGGTCATATCTGCAGAGAGGAGAGCTGACCTCATGTAAGTTTTCAGGATTTTGAGCTGTAAAAACATATAACTTCTATATTTGTTACTAGCACCATACGCGATCAGAACAGTACGGCCATTGAAATGATAGAAGCGTGTCTTGAGACTGGTCAGATATGGTACTGGGTCTGAAGGGGCTTAAAAGTAACAAAAATATTAAATTGATCCTTCATAAAACCTGGAAAAAGCTACAATGAGGAGGTAGAAACAACTAGTTTTAAGATTTAAAAAACCATCTTCCGGTCTAAAAATCATTTCAAGTATTGTTTGGGGACATCAGGGAAGCATACTCTATTCTTTTGATTTTGTAATTTACATAAAAAAGGTTAAATTAAACTGAAAATTGAGCGGAGAGATACAGTCTGTACACGTGACCATTATGTGTACCATACAAAACAAACATTAATGGATGGAGTAAGGCGTTTTTTAGTTGAAATTATAACATTGTCTTTTGAAGAAATGTGCATTATCTTACATTACAAAGTGCTTTTTCTTATTCACCTTTTTTTGGTTTTTAGTGCCTTCATTTTCAAAATACACAATGAAAAAACAAAAACAACATAATCTACAACTATAAACAAACCACTAAATGTAAAAGTGTGTTTTTCCGGTCTTCTCAGAAAACGCTGGTCCAAATCTTAAAGCTCATGTTAGATATCTGATGTTGCAGGCTTTAGTGATGGAGGAAACCACGATTATTCAAATTTAAGGCACTCTCCGAGCAAAGTCCTTCAAATACTTGTCGTGTTGAAGGCATTTTGTGACACCTACGGACGTCCATAACAAAACATTAAACCAACAATTGTCCATTAAGTTGATACACCTGAATTGAAAGTACAAATCAGATGGTATTTGACTTAATTATATTTCAAGATAAAAACAGACATTTGCCTCTAGCACAAGCTCATATTTCAAACATTAGTTAAGAATTGGCTTGCTTTTGTCTTATTTTAAGCTTATTCCAGTGTCAAATTGAATATACACTGATTACTTCAAGGAGAGCCACTGATTCGCTTGATTATTTTACCAGTGTGTAGGTGTGTGAGAGAGTTAAACAATTGCATGTGACAAGCAGTAAATAAATAGACATCAAAAAAAGTACAATTTTGTGGGTGTGGGGGTAATTGTTCTAAATTTACATGCACCGATATTCAGGCACATCAAAACAGGCAGGTTGTGATTGCTGTCCAAACGCTACAAGACCGTAATCAGGACAGAGCATCGCAAAACAGTTTGTACCACAGTTGCGATTTTGCCGTTTCGAAGCCACTTGAGGAGTCCAAATGCTGCGCTTGTCTCAGTGGCTGAGGCTGTGGGTGAGGGCCTCCAGCTGCTCCTCTCCCAGCCTCTGTTTCTCTTCAAAGTCCTTTTGTCGGATGAGCAGCGAGGCCTTGGTTTGGACGTAGCGGCGGTAGTCCTGGAGCTGTTCGGGGGTGAGCTGGCGGGCGAGGAAGGAGGAG